ATCCACTGGCAGGTACCTTGATAAAGACTGTATTGTCCCTCAAGGGTACTAAAGCATTCACTCATAACAAATCACCTACTGTACTAGTGCCACATGAAGAATGCACCCAGCAGTCACCTTCAAGTCAGAAGGTCTGAGATCCCAGTCTCAGACTCTTGCTATTCCTCTCTGCAACAGGAAACATAACAGCACCTTCACCTGTAGCAAAACCCACATTTTAATCTCTTATATGGTTTAGGTTACGTGTCTTCCATTGTAGAGTTGTTTTTCAAATATACGCAGCACCGAGTGACAGCTTGAAAACTTCAAGGAGGTAGTACAAATTCTTATGTTGCAATTTAAGAAAAGGAATGAGCTCTTCAGAGGCACAGGTAAAAATCAAATGTTTACCTTTAAAGTCTAATTTTCACATTGCACGCTTGTAGTTTTTAGTGGAGTTTGGACACATCAATAATTCCATTGCTACATACTAAAATTATTTGTAAAATTTCATTTGAACATCCGAAAATACTCATTAATGATATCTCAAAATTTATTATTCTCTTTTTGCATAATCATCACAGCTACTTTAGCTTGGATTTATATATATCTGAGAGATAAATATACCAGTTCTACTTTTTAGATAGTCTTTTCCCAGCCATTATAACTTTTGGAATTAATGTCAGAGTTCTATTCAGGCCCATTTGATTTAGACCCATTTTTTACAGCAGGAGGCATTAACAACTATTACTTTACACAATTCTGCAGTCTTTGACAATATAAAAGTTATCCATTCTTTCAGATACCTTTGAAAGCCAACTACCTAAGGAATTAGACTGATTTTTCCTTGAAACAGTTCTGTAAAACTAAGAAGGCAGTGCTGAAAGATGAGAAGAATATAAATAAAGTCCCAAAGTACACACATACTTTTTTTTTTTTAAGTAAACAGTTCAGACATCACCTGATTACAGTAACAATCACCACACCACCTCATGTTTGTGGTCATACGCACATTTTTCATGATTTTCCTAAAATAGTTGGTAAAGCTAAGGGACAAGATACTCTGTTAGCGTAATCTTGAGTTCCAAAGAATGAAACTCCAAAATTTTAGCTTGGACCATCTTTGCTATAAACCCACTTCTTTTCTCAATTACAGGTTTATGAACTGTCACAATGTTTTTCTTCTAGTTTGATGTTTTCTTATTATTTGTAAAAATAGGCCAGGCTTCAGCCCTTTTATCTTTTCTTAGCTTCTTTTTGTTGTACTTACTGCAGATTGATGTTTTTCAATGAATAGCCCCAAATACACATTAACTTTTAATTAACCTAATTCTGTTCTTCCCTCCACAGGGAGGCTCTGGGTCCCGACCTGGATCGCGGTCTGGTTCACCAATTGCTAGGCGCTGAAGCTCTACGATGCCATTCAAGGATCCTGTACTCTGCTTCATAGTATAACTGCCTTAAAATTAGTAACAGCTGCCACAATTACCTAGATAGATGCAATCCATTACTTAATGCCAATTAGGTTCTGCATGCAGTACATTATACAAACTTCTATTGGCAATCCCTGACCAACAGTTGAATGAAAGGAACATAAAAAGTAGCTTTACTAGATGTTTTCCTTATTTTATGTGAAGTAACAAGATCTCTGACTTTACTCGCTCTCCTTCAGGATGCCCTAACTGTATGCTGGACTCCATTATTTCTCCCAAGCACCTAATTTGAGCTCAACTCTTCTGGTTTCGTTTTAGTGAACATCAGAATTACAAATAAAGAGTTATAATGTCTTGGACACTGAGCACTGCTGTTAATGAATTTCTGAGACACTGCTGTTAAAAAAACCCAACATGTGCAGAAGTTGTAAGGACTGTTTATCCAAATAGTTTTTTTGATTTTTTTTTGGTTGGTTTTTTGTTTTGTTTTAATCTTCCTTCTCTCACTCACAGAATAATTTATTTTCGTAACAGGATTAGGCAGTCATGGAAAGGTTTACCAAACACTGGGAGTTCAAGGTATGTGAAATGGGGGAGGGGGCAGATGTTGCAGAATCAATACGATGCAGAGCAATAGCAGTAAGGAAATTCTTTCCATGCCATGAATTGCTCATTGCATCCAAACCATTAGAATTAAGAGTAGATGAGGGAGAGAAAGAGGATTTCAAATTTGAGTTAGACTAATGTTATGAAACAAGGGATATTCCCAGAGAAACATCTAAGATTGCACAAGTGACCACTGGATGTCACCGGTGCTTCACGTAAACTCTGCTGCAATAGCATTGATTTTGCAGTGCAGTAAATAAGTAAATACATAAACAAAAAAGTCTAATTTCTGAAAGAAAGCCCTTCAGTACTGGTATCTCAGGTAGTCCTGCACATCTCATGCTAGAATTTCAAGTCTTTCTCTTGGTATTGCAGCAGTGTTGTATTTGATCAGCTCATCTTTTGCCTAGATGCCTCTTAAGGGCAGTGCACCAAAGCAAACTCATAGTAAACTACTGTGAACATTTAACTGTTGTACTGTAGTTGCCTCATAGAAATAAACTGTAGCTCAGTTAGATTTAGACATTAATTGTTCATGAAATACTAAAATGAATGTGTGGCGATCATATTTCCAACCACACTTAGGGAAATAAAAGGCTCTTCTGAATTGCACTGTTTTATTACTTAAACTTACCATTTCTTCAATCTGTCATCTAAGTGTCTGATTAATTATTTTATTTTTTTAGTTTTAGCCTATGCATTGTAGACTACAGTTAGTGCTTCCTAGGTTGAAACTGCATTCCTAATAAGTGCCCAGTGAAAGTTACCTATAAATATTTATGTTAATTGCATTTCACATCTAAATCTATTGTAGGTTTAAATCAGTGTCCATTAATATGAAGCAATGGAAGATGAGATGACAGAAAATACATAGAAACTAAAGAAAACACAACTGCCAAAATCATTAAGCATACACACACGTATTACATCTTCTATTACCTACACTGGTTGCTATGTGTATTTTTCTATTGTAGCTTCATTCAGATGTATACTCTGCAACATAATAGTTGATTTAATTTGAATACGTATTGTTCTTATAGGAACACAGCTTTTAAATATATTCATTATTGAAATAAAGTAATCAACTTGAAACTTGGGCCAGTTTTGTTTTTTGCAGAGGAAAAGGTCATATATGAAGGTCTGTGTTATGAATAACGTTCAGATACTACAAAATGACACTTTGGGACCCAGCTGCCTGCATACAGGCTTCTAGTGCTTAGCATGGCCCAGAAGGCTAACAATAGGACATAAGACTTATGGAAGGCCAGTGTCTGTGCAGTGGCAGCTACAGACCAGGGGGATACTGCAAGGCATAAAATGTCTATGAACAGGCAATAAAATCCTGCCCTTCATGAACAAGCGTGGTGCAAATAGCCTTCAAAAATGGGAAAGAATATTTAAGGTAAAAAACCCCTGAGAAACACATCTTTCAAAATACTGCACTGTAGAACTTCAGAATTTATCCATAGCTTCTTACTTGCCTTTATCACCCTTGTTTCCCCCACAATCACCTTTCCCAGAGGCTGAAGGTGTCTGTTTTGGATTTACTTCGTATAGTAAAAACAGGTACAGTAATTGAAAGCGTTATTTTACCAATAGGAGTCTCTTAAAAGTGACTAAAACTTAGACAGAAATTTATTCTTTTAATTACTCCACTAGTAGTTTTGCTGAAAAACAGCAGTTTAAATGGTGATTTGATTTGTAACCAAAAGGATTTTTCCTGAAACAGGAATGCACAACCAGTATTAGGGAGAGAGTAATTTCATGTACTGAAGGAATGAACATAAACCAAAAGATATTCCGAGCAGACACAAGCCAAAAAGCCTGAGGCTAGTGTAAGCCTACTACTAGATCAAACCAGAAAGAACAGGGGCATTCCTATGCACTGTTCCCTTACCCACTACACAACATGGCTCTTCAAGCAGGTCTCAGAACAAGAGTTCTTCTCCTTCCTTAAATAATGCATCTACTCCAACACTGCTTTTGAAAACACCAACCTATCAGTTACTGTGTCTGTATTTGTACTGAACATGAACACATACACTACTTTGAAAACCTCCAACTCAGTCTTACCAAGGAACCTGGGCTATACAAACCTCTGTTCACTTCATGAAGTGTCCATTTAAACATGGCATCTTTTTACTCACAAAATCTGCTTTTAGCATGTGCTCACTGAGCATCACAGAATCACAGAATGGTTTGGGTGGAAAGAGATCCTAGTTCCAAACCCCTGGCTGTGGAAAGGGACACTTTTCACTAAACCAGGTTGCTCAGAGCTCCATCCAACCTGGCACTGAACACTTGCAGGGATTGAGCATCCATAACTTCTCTGGGCCACCTGTTCCAGTGCCTCACCACCCTCATAGTAAAGAACTTCTTTCAGACATCTAATCTAAACCTATTCTCTTTCAGTTTAAAGCCATTCCCCCTTGTCCTGTCATTACGTGCTCTTGTAAAAAGTCCTCCTCCACCTTCTTAAGAGGCTCTCTTCAAGTACCAACTACTGCCAATCTTTACTTCCTAGTAAAGCAATCCCAGCTAGAGCAGACTGAATGCTTTCAAGCATTCAGGAATAACGTTCCCATTATGAATTTGCATCTGGATGTGATCAGTTATAAATCATCTTCTGTCAAACTGAATTTTGCAACCTCTGGAAATCATCATCCCCTACACAGCAAATCAACTCCAACCAACTTTGCAGTACATTTATCCAGTATTCTCTGAATTAACTGGTTTTATACATAGTACACACAACACAGCACATTTTACTATATTATAACAGATGTCATGAGGCCAGACAATTGTAAAATATAATATCTTCCTTAAACAGCTGAAACACTCATGGCTGGCTGGAAGGGAAGGCACTGCTGGAAGAACTTCTTTCCTTTACATCTAATATCCAGAGATGCACTTCTGGTAAACAGAGTTTTTAGAGTCTCCTAGAATCCAGAATCACATGCTTAAAAAATACACGAAACAGAATTTGGAAAAAAGTAATATTATTTAGCATTTTTTGAATTAAATATTCCACATAACAAAAGTGTTATTTTCATGTCACCAACTATTTAACTTATATACATATGCCAAACAGTTAACAAAAGAATTAAGAGATGCCCTATCAAAATCAACAGCCATTTCTTGCTTCAGCAATCTGAAATAACTAGTTTATATCAGAGACAAAGTATAGACAATATTTACAGAAAACGGCTTTCTGGATGTGAGAACAATTATCTTTCAGAAGGTAAATTAAAATCCAGCTCTGTATTATAGTACAACATATCCACCACTGATCTAGAAGTACTTGTGGCAACCAAACAGATGAACTTCCTGCAACTGGGATTAGTATTTACAAAATATACTGATCAGCCACACAGAGGCTCATATAACTTTAAATATATATATACATATACAAGCACACATATATATATATCTATATATATGTAACATATAAATAAAATTCAAAAGAACAAGGCAAAAATAAGAAAAAAGCTTCTGTCTTTGGAATGTCTAAACGACAACTATGTTTTTACTCCAGTGTTTCTTTGTTACGAATACACTTAACAAGTGGCACCTTTGAAAGCATTACATAGTCAACTAGGTAGTTTTGCTGGAACAGTGACTTAAACAACAAATAAAAGTAACGTATTTCCAAAGTTCACAAAGAAAATAATGAGGAATTTACAGATTCAAAATGATAACTGTTTACAGCACCAGGGAACACTGTATAATATAGGTGACATAGTGTGCATCAAACTTTCTCTCTGCTAACACAAAACTGTACGTTTACTTCACAGATTTAATATATGGCTGTGTTTTCCACAGATACTGAGATATGTACCTGCTGATCCAATACAGCAAACAACAGAAGAAGCTTTTATTGGAACCTCTTCTTGTTTGGATTCTTGTGAAATAATTATTGCTGAGTTCAAAACCTCAGACTTTTACCGTAAAAACTAACAACTGTCTGCCTCTGTGGCTGGAATGGAAATAAACATGCTCCCTCTCAAGGGTTTAACTTGATAAAAGCCATGAAATCATGGTATTTTATTTTTTTTCAACGAATTCTCAAAATGTACTAAAAAAAAAAAAAAAAGCTTTAAACAGCAATACAGCATTTTCCTGTGCCACATAAGAAAAAAAAAATTGAAGGCAAAACCCCACTATTTTATACTGCATGCATGCATCAACTCTGCAACATTTTGTTTCCAATGTCAATTATTTCCTTAAATACGTGAAAAAGAAGGCTGACGGACAGTTTCATGATTTTCCCATGAAGTTATTCTTCACTTTCATTAAAAATGGGAATAATTCTATTCTGATATAAAGTTCCAGTTTATTTTTAAATAGGTATACTGGCTGTGAATTCGAAGATGAAACTGTATACATTATTACCTGAGTTCACAGATTCACAGACAACTTAGCACAGATTAAATGGTGTTTTCCCAATATTCTTCTACAAGCTTAAAAAAATGAATTGATCTTTTAGGTAATTTTTGTAAATATTAGAAAAACTATAATATATTATTCTATTGTTAGTATTTTCAATGCTTGAAGCTTTAACTGTAAAATTTGAGTCCCAGAAACATTTTTAGATTTCAAATTTTAAAGTGTCATCGAAAAACATTGCCTATACTTTGCCATTCATTTGAAGATTCTTGTACCACTTCTTCTAAATTCAGAGCACGACTAATATCTTCCCCTTCTTGTTCTTGGTGACTAGCAGGTTCTTGTACAGGACCTACCAAGGTACAAGAGGAAAAGGCAAGTGAGTATGATTTGATGTACAGTGCTAGAAAAATGCAAATATAGCATTTGAGAACAAAGGAATCATGCTGGGAAAGGTATTACACAACAACTTCAGATAATGTAGATTTATCAGACAGTCTTTGAAAAATTAAAAACAATCTAATATCATTGTTTTGCTGGAATAGTTTTTGAACACTGTATTTCTGGACACAGAGCTTCACATAAAAAACAAGGAACCAAAAAGGCAACCAATCACTCTTTCGAACTGAATTTTTGGATTGTGTGTGTAACTATTAACTCATTGGCTGTGGTCTTTGGCTATTAGTGCTTGATTCCTCGGTAACTTAAGGGAGGTATTTTGTGCTTTCTCAGTAAAGCACATGCCTTTCTGCACTCACCAGTACTACCACTATGCTACGTACCAGTGTAACCATGAGCCCGTTTCATATGCAGTTTCATATTGCTTTTCTGTGTAAATCCCATTGCACAGTAATCACATTTATAAGGTCTCTCTCCTGTGTGCCTTTTCATGTGGACTTTAAGAGCACTCTTCTGGTTAAATGCTTTTTCACATAGTGTACACTGAAATGGCCGTTCCCCTTATAAAAGAGAAAAACATATTTAATAATTTTTCATTTCAACATTAAAACACAGTTCAGAATTCAGCATAAATCATCAAGATGACCTAGAAATGAAAAAGACATGACCTTTTTCTTTAAGACCTTCTCTAAACAGTGTCACGCCTCCATACTGCCAGTAAAAATCCCAAATTAAATGTCAGAATACTTACATAAGTACTAAATCACTGATATTATCTTTCCTATCCAATTTATCAGTAAATTATTTAAGAGGTGCACAAAAATCATTTGACTTTTCTGTACCCAAGGAAACCTTCAGCTTTTTACATCATTCAGAGTAATGCAGATAAAGCAATGTTCTAGAATTAACAAAGCTGACGTCTCTAAGAAACTAAGTCAAATATGTTAAAAAAAGAAGTGTTCTGCTAATTCTATATGGGACCTATGTCCTCCTATGCCAACAGCTACTAGTGATTCTCCCACCTTACCAAAGCATTGATCCAAATCTGCCATAATACTACTGATTTCTAACTATAAATGCACAAATGTATTAATTTTAAATATTTTTAAAGTTAAAAAATATCTACTTTGCAAAATCAGACCTTTGATTAAAAACTCAACCCCCCAACCTCTTGAGATTAATGAAGGACACATTGTATGTCATTAAGGACTTCTAAAAGCACTTTCTCAACTTAGAAATACATTTTGCTATTAGTCAGTTCAATAAAGCACAAGCAGGAGTATAAATACTTTTCCACAACTGTTCTTAAAGGATGAATTTCTCTCTCCCCTTCATTCCCTGTATATTAGTGTTCCCACAGGCACTGTAGCTTGCATGCCAAATCCAGTTTCTCAGACAATCAATAAAAGGTCCTTTAAAGCACAGAAGTTTCCCTTTTTGTTTGTTAGCAACTATTTCACTAATTTGAAGTGAAATCTAGGTTTCCTAAAGTAATTTTGATTCAATTTTTTTCTAATTCATTTAAAATTAACAGCCTTTCTTTTGTTGTGTAATGGGTTACCACGTGGCTTTTGGGTAGAACTGGGAGCATCTACTTCCCTCTAATTTCAACATTTCTTCAAACCACTCTTCGTTGGTAAATCTTAAAGTACAAGATATTTAGAGTTATTCAGAGAAATAATGCTTTTTCCTTCTGACCACTGATTCAGTAGGTATTGCCCATTAGACATGGTTAAGAACATATAATCAAGAGAGAAACCACACTTCCTCACAGACAAGGATGGCACCTTTAAGAAAGCAAGTCGGTTTAGCTTTACATTAGCCTTTCCTATCCTAGTCCATAGTCCTATCATATGGATTTACCTACCGTTGTCTGACAGAGTTGAAACAGAAACATAAATATGAATTTAGCAAGGTTTGTTACAAGTCCTTCCAAATAAGAAAGAATTTTTCCTATGATGGTGCAGATGCATAAAGGGACTCTGCTCTGTTCCCAGACTTCCTGAAGTGCTCTTTGCCCTTTACAATGGGCAGCACGAATCAAAGCAGGGAGAATGGAAATTGGCTGTCTTTACTGCTTTCTGAATATTTTGTGGTACTCTTAACTAGAACATTTCCTTTTTTAAGAGTCCGTGTTATTTAGGCCATTTATGCAGAAAGCAAATTACTGTGGAATTCTGAAGAATTTTAATCTCCTTGGATTTTAACTCCTTTCTCTTTTTGCCTATCCCCAGTATGACCAGAATGTTCCTTTCTACCACAGTAACAACAAAACAGCTTGATGTTGGGGAAAGAGAAAGCTCTGGCCGAGTCACTGAAAGAGTTATCCTTTTGTGGGAGTCCCATCCAGCTAAAGAGCAACACAGACAGCTTTACCCATCCTTTTTAACTCTAGCAGCCATGACAGCTCTTTCTTGGTAGCAGTGACAGGGAAAAGAAAGAACTTGTTTTGGAGAACCAACTCCTTTATTTAGAACCCATGTTCTTAAGAACACTGTTCTTCAGGCACAGAAGGTGACAGGGAAGGCAGCTGGGCTAACATCCGTTCTCAACATCCATTCTCAGGGCAGAAGCTGCAACCTGAAAAGCACTTACATCACAGAAAATGTGATGGCTTCCCAAGGAGAAGCCAGCATAATCTTTATTTATAGATTACCAGTTGAAGAAAATACTTAAGTGGAAAAGAAAACAACAGATTAAAAGTGCTGGCATTAAAAACAGATGAACTGAGCAAGTAGCTCAATGACAATGAAGTACTGGATACCGCGGTCAGTATCAGCAGTCAAGCTCGTTCCTTGTTTAACATCACTGAGTACACCCACTCATTTGCACGTTCTTCTGTATGCTTGAAGATGATCATATCTTAGTGTCTTTACATCATTTTAAACAATGGCTTAAAATATGCTCTTATTATCCTGTTTCAAAGACTGGTAAACTTTTACATACAAGCTCATGCACTCACATTACCATTGCAGTACTGCCAGTCCCAAAATACAGATAAGCTTAGTGAAGCACCATGAGATTTCAAGTCTGCTGTTCCTTCTTTTAACTTCCAAACATTTTGGGTTAGAAATTTATTTTGTTTTTTTTAAGCTTAAGCTGGTATTTAAATGCAGTGAGCTGAAAGCATAAGCAAGGACTCCAAATATAACACCCATATATTCATGAGAAAATCCTGTGAGATAAAAATAATTTCTGTTGTTACCTGTGTGAATGCGACTGTGTCTCTCCAGCTGACTTGGCTTAGCAAAAGCTTTTTCACAAGTATCACACTTAAACACTCTAGGCTTCTGGGAGCTCAGTGAAGGTCCAGCCTGATGGGTTTGCATGTGCTCCTAAGCCAGTATAGAAAAAAAATACATTTCAGGCCATTAAAAAAAAAGTCAGTGTTTAACATAAAAAATATATATTCACACCTTGAAGACAAAAGCAGAGGATCTTAGTTATCAGTAGACAAGCTGGAAGAAAATGGAAGCCTGCATTTCTTTTTCTTTTAAATGAGAGATTATTTTTGTATATCAACTCTTTACAACACTGATGCATCAGTATCTTTACATTCGCCTTTGGAAAACTCCACCAATAACTGTATGTTTTGGTTTTTTTGCATACATTAGTACCTTCACTATTTATCTGAAGCAAAACAGAATAAGCTGAACCAGAACTCTTGAAATGTTTTTCTCACCTAAAAAGAGGTGAGAAAACTCACAACTGTGAGTTTTAAGTTAATATATGATTTTTTCCTCCTCTCCTCTACAAAATCCATCTCCCTCCTTGTCTGATACATAGGTATTCCTCAGCACCTGAATTATTACCACTGTAAAACTGTACAAGCCTCAAAAAGGGGACTATCACAACATACATTCATACACAGCCACACAGTGCCAAGATGCAAATAGAACCACTTCATAATGAACTTTTAATTAAAAAAGAAAAAAAAAATCACTAAGGCCCTTATAGGTAAGATAGCAGAATGAGGATATGACCCATTTTACCTTCATGAAGAAGCATTAATAACAATTCTAACTTCAGGGTTTTTAATTCACTGATGCTGGACCCAGAAGACTTGCAACTTTAGAAGAGTATCTTATGATATCTATTAATTTTTTCATTTAAATATATTTATTAATACCAAGATAGAATTCAAATTAAAGAAGAAAGCAAATATATATATTTAACTTAAAAAAAACCTAATCAAGAACTGTTTGTGAAACAGTACTGCAAATACTTGCCCACTTTCTAAAATGTGTGCGGATATTCTTTTCTAGTCTTTTCATAACAGACTAAACTATTAATTAGTCTTTACTATACCTAAACAACAAGCCTTCTTGATGTCTATGAAGTCCTATTCCTCACTCCACGAACTGAGTCAAACTGTATCTGCAGAGTTTGTTTACACTGAAAAATCAGCGAGACAGTTACAGGGAAGAATATTATTACCATAGTAATTATATACTATAGTATTATAGGGAAATAATATAAGGTCGTCTGAGAAAAATCAGAGATTTGTAAACCACAGCTTATATGGAAATAAAAATCTTTTGCTTTTATCTTGTTTATTACCTCCTGAAGCTTTGAAAAGGTGGAAGCAAACTATGGCCTACTCCAGAAAAATTAACAGAAACTGACTGCTTCTTTCTTCCACCACAAAACATCCAACCCCAAAACCCCCAAACCTCCAAACCCCAATAACCCCCCCATACCATTTTCTGTTTGAAAGCAAACAAGATAGCATTCAGATAGCCACCATAAGACTTTGTCATCTTTCTCTGCTCAGTTTGTGATGCAGTTCAGGTCCACTGATCTGTGAATCTCTTATAATTTTCCTGTAAAATATATATACTTCTGAAAAGAGTTCATGGGAATAAAGTGCTCTGAAGGTCAAGCACCTCTTTATAGACATATTTAGTATTTCATTGACTGTTCATGTGACATTTTATAAGTTTTTTTGTGTAACTCTCATATTCATCAGCTAGGAACTACCTTGGGGTTCCAAACCAGCATTATCTAATTAGGAAGTAAGAACAGGAAACCTTCTTCGAAAGGGCCCTTGGCCCCTCACACATGCATTGGTATGGCACTCACGTCCACCCTACCTATCCTGAAACATTAATTGTAAGCACCTATGAAAGATTGGCAGAAAGTTCATTTCATTCCATTGTTTTAATAAGATAACAGTGATGTTTTAATTTCATCTTAGAATCATGTCTCTAATTACTATCTACAGTCAACCTGCAGATATTTCCACAACATACTGATATGGAATTGGACAGTTTAGTCCAATGTACATGTCTTAAGATTCTCCTTTCTGAAGCTGTAAAATCAGGGCAGTCACCCACATCAAAAGGGGAACTGAAGTCACTGGACTGAAAATTTTTCACACTGGGGACAGGGTGGGTGGTAGGGGTGTTCATACATAATCTCTAAAGAGGGTTTTCTTGTGGATAATTGTGAAACTGCTAGTACTGATACCTTTGGAAAAAAACACATACAATTAAATACTGGCATCTAAAGACTGATACCCTTACCTCTTATTTGGATTTTCTGAAAAGCCTGAAGTCTGGCAGTGCCCTTAATATTTCTGGTGATCTCCAGAATACTATCAGTATAAAATGAAGACCATGAGTAAGAGATCACTGAACCCTTCCCAAAACCCTAAGCCAAACCCCATGGTTTCATCTATCTTTGTTGAATTTCCTGTTAAAGGCTGCTCACAGCTGACATTGTGGAACACCTTAATGAAGAAGAGTCTGATAATGTGTGGAATTTGTTTTAGTACATGGTGATCCAGTGGTAAATCAAACTGTCCTTTAAGACCTTTAAGATCAAAGCCACACATTAAACCAGCACTTTTAAGTCTACCATTAAACTATGTCCACTAAGCCATTGTGCACAGTGCCACATCTACATATTATAATACTTTCAGAGCTGGGAACTCAACCACTTCCTGTAAAGCCTGCACCAATGCTCAACAAACTTTTAATGAAGAAATTTTTCCCAATTTAGCCAATCTAAACCTCCCTGGTACAACTAAGGTCATTTCCTCATGTCCTGTTCCTTGTTACCTTGGAGAAGAGGTTGACCCCCATCTGCCTACACCCTCCCTCCTTTCAGGTAGGTGTAGAGTGATAAGGTCTACCCTGAGCCTCCTTTTCTCCAGGCTAAACAACCCCAGCTCCCTCAGCTGCTCCTCACAAGACCTGTAATTGACACCCTTCATCACCCTTCCCTGGACACTCTCCAGCATCTCATTGCCTTTCTTTAAGTGAGGGACCCAAAACCAAACACAGGATTCGAGGTGAGACCTCACCAGTGACGAGTACAGGTGGATGGATGATCACTGCCTCGGTCCTGCTGGTCACACTATTTCTGATACAAGGCAGGATGCCATTGGCCTTCTTGGCCACCTGGGCACACTGCTCATGCTCAGCTATTGTTGACCAGTACACCCAGCTCCTTTTCTACTGGGCTGCTTCAAAGCCTGTAGCATTGTTGTGACCCAAGTGCAGGACCTGGCACTTTGCCTGTTGAATCTCATATCCTCCACATCCCTTTGCAGAGCCTTCCTGCCCTCCAGCAGATCAACACTCCCACACAACTTGGTGTCCTCTGAAAACTTACTGAGAGTGCACTTGATTCCCCTTGTCCAGATCATTGATAAAGATATTAAATAGAACTGGTCCCAGTACTGAGCCCTGGGGAACACCTCTTGTGACTGGTCACCAGCTGGATGGAATTCTATTCAACACCATCTCTGAGCACGGCCATACAGTCAGTGAACAGTACACCTGTCCAAGCCATTGGAAGACAGCTTCTCTAGGAGAATGCTCTGGGAAATAGTGTCAAAGGCTTTGCCAAAGTCCAGGTAGACAACATCCACAGCCTTTCCCTCCTCCACTGAGCAAGTTACCTTGTCATAGAAGGAAATCAAGTTACTCAAGCAGAACCTGCCTTTCATAAACCCATGGTGGCTATGCCTGATCCACTGGCTATCCTGCAAATGCTACATGATGGCACTCAAGATGAGTTAATCCATAACCTTTTCTGGCACTGAGATCAGGTTGACAAGCCTGTAGTTTCCTAGATCCTGTTTCCAGCCCATCTCGTAGATAAGTGTCACATTTGTTAACCTCCAGTCAACTGAGACTTCCACGGAGTCAGGACTGCTCATAAATGATTGAAAATCTTTTGGCAAGCTCTTTTGACAGGTCCCTCAGCACGCATGGATGGATTCCATCCTGCCCTATAGACCTGTGTGTGTCTCAGGTCATGGACCATTTCCCCTCCCTCTACTGAGATGGCTCCAGTGCTGCACGCCCTGGTACAGGGACACTTCAAACAAGCTCCAGTGCACTCAGCACTTTGGAGCTGACTGAAGGGCCTTGCTAGTACATGATTCCTCAAACACTGGTGTGCCACTCACAAGCTTATCTCTAGAGAGACTGGTTTATCCCTTTTCCCCTACAAACTTAGTTTAAAGCTCTTTCAATAAGTCTCGCTAACTCCCCAACAAAGATCTTTTTACCCCTTTGAGACAAGTGTAGCCCATATGCAGCAGGCCACCAATCCATGATCAAAAACCCCAAAACTTTGCTGGTGATGCCAGTCTCAGAGATAATTATTGATCTGCTGTCTCTTTCTTCATCATTCCCTGCAATTGGAAGGATAGAAGATTACTTGTCCTTCTGATCCCTTAAAAAGTTGTTCCAAGGCCATGAAGTCTCTTGTGACTGCCCTTGAACTTCTTACTGCAACTCCATTGCTGCCTACCTGAAAAATCAATTGTCGATAATACTCCAAGGGACATAGCAAGGTCATATATTTAACCTGGGCTCAGTATATAATAGAAATCAAGGTTTAATTATAACAAAAAAATGTAACAACACCCAGTTCTAAGAAAACAAATTGTAGAGAGACTGATATTTGGGTTTTGTTATCATTACTTAAGGAAAACAAGTACCAATACTGTTTTGATCTTTTTCCCTGAAAAAATTCTTCTAAACAAGAAGTTCCACAACAACACATTTTATGATAGCTTCCTCAAGGTCCAGTAGTCTGGCTGACAGACATAATCAGTCCAAGGGGGGAACTTCACAAACGAAGCATATTTCCTTAAAATACGATACTGAAGGAAACCTATTAAAGAGCTCTCCTAAAAGCTACTTAATACAAAGACATTGCCTTTGGACTAGGAATTTCCTGTTACAAATTCTGGGAAGTTGGCAAAATTCTGAGCAAGTTATATGTTTGCTCTTTTCCTAAAGATCTTCTTCAAATAACTTCCATTTGGTATCTCTCAGAGACAGGATACTGGCCTGAACATAGCACTTGTCTAGTACAGCCCAATATTCCTAACAGGAACATTCTATAATCCAATTAACAACTTAATTACACCACTAATCTTTTTGAAACGAGTTCAACTATCTTGTTGCTCATTATCTAGAGAACAGAACACAGAAAATACCCTAGACAACAGCAATAACATAAGGATATTTTAAAACAAATGCTTCCTCTACAAATGTCACTTGCACCCACAAGATAGAGCATCTCCAAATCAAATGATAAGAGTGCATAGCAGATAGCTTCCTGAGATTTCAAAAAATTATCTGGAAATCAGGATTAGCAGTGATAATATTCATAAGCAAATAAAGAGGAATCTTTTCCTGGCACTACTACTTGCATGACAGGCATTCATATTTTTCATTCTGTAGTCAATAAATGCATTAAAATCCTCTCCGTGCTCCAGAAGAGAGTTCTCTATCTGTGTATACATTATCACTTAGACTCCCTCTCTCAGATGCACACCTCTCACACTGTAAAAGGAAAGCAAAGACAAAGGGATAATAGGTACCTTTTGTTAATATCACAAAAAGTCCAAAACAAAAGACGGAGTCAACAGAACAATCAACTGTTATTACCAAGTACCTTGAGATGTGTTGCCCGCTTAAAGGCCTTATTACAGATGTGGCAAACGTGTATTCGTTCCTTGCCATGAACCTCCTTACAATGGTGTGTCAGCATGGTCACTGAGTAGAAGGTTTGACTACACTCAAAACACTGGTGCCCGCGACTTTCTTTTTCTGCTTGGCTGCTTTTAGTCACATTAGGGGAAACCTCTGTCACCTACAACAATTTACAAAAACACTATCAGATAATTTCATAGGCACATCCACAACATTGCTTTATTTTTCTGAATCCACCTCAATCAATATTTGGAGAGTACTTACAACGAACTTACAAACACAAAAGAAGTATTTACATACATAAGTTGTATGTAAATATGAATTTCTATTTCACCGTTCTAAAGGATGACAAATATATGTATTTCAAGAAAACTACAATAATAGCGATGATCAAATTATTTTAACTAAAAATAGAATGCGTTCGTAGCAATATTTTTCAATATTCTGTTCTATACTCCTGCACATCACCTCAGATGATTCTCACATTTCTCCCTGAACAAAATTCAAAGCCAAAAATGTTTCAGACAGAAAAGAAAGTATCTCTGATTTTACAGAATATTTTCTATTTAACTTCTTTATTAGGGATTCTATTTTCATAATGAAGTAAAGCTCTGCCTCCAGAAGTACTGAATCACAATGAATAATTGATAAAATTTGGATGGTGTTGTGTTACATTCTTGTTTCATTTTAATTAATAAAAATGTTTGGGAAAATCTCACTTCCTTCAAATAATTTAACACCAAATTCCTTCAACTTTATACAGAAGAACCTTAAATACAGTAACACAGAAAGCAACAAATGAAGATGAAGGAAGGAGTACTCTAAATTAATTATTCAGTATAAACCAAACTTGAAAAGATACAAAACAGAATATTATCCATACTAGAAATCAAAGATGCAATATGAAACATCTTGAAAGAAATTACAATAAACACCTATGTGTATGTGTGTTTCCAACTAGCTGGATGTTCTCAGGCAAAGTGTGAAATGTTGCAAAGGCAATCAATATAGTCACTATGATTAAATAAAACATAACATCGCCTAGAATGACAACTAGCTTACATTATTACTACACTTTAAGTTATTACAACAGTGCTACACAGACATAGTCACACTTTATAAGGGATATGATAATAAGCCTTATGAATGACACTCTGATTCATGAAAGAATATAGAGAGACACAAAATCTAGTTTTAAATTCATAACAGTAAGAAAATCTGTTCATGTTAAAGTTTAAAACATCCATATTCAGAGAGTATTTGAATGCTGGAATTAAGAATTCACACTCATAAGCATATGCAAAGATAAAAAAATCACATGCACAAGGTATTATTAGAAACATAGAATAGCTCAAACTGGAACTATCTGCTTTAGTCCTCCCATCAGGTATTTATGCACATTTGTATGAACCCCCCAGCCAGAGCCTATCTCTTTTAAGCCAAATATTTCCAGCTCTCTCAGCCTCTCCTTCTATGTTAGATGCACCAATTCTTTAATCATCTTTATATCTCTCCACTGCACTTATAGCTGTATATCTGTGTCTCTTGTACTGGTGGGCTCGGGACTGGACACAGCACTCCAGATGACACGTTCTCACCAGTACTAAGAAGAGGGAAGGATGAATTCTCTTGATCAGCTGGCAACACTCCCTTTACTGAACCCCAGATGCTGTTGGGCCTTCTTTGCTGCGCTGCGGGCTCACGGTCAACTACTTGTCTACCAGTATTCCCATGTCCATCTCTGAAAAGCTGCTTTCCTGCTGCCCTCAGTGTGTACTAGTCCATGGGATTGTCCTTCTTCAGGGACAGGACTTTGCTCTTCCTATTGCTGATCTTCATGAGTGTCCTGTTGGTCCAGTTCTCCAGCCTGCTGGGGTTCCTCTGCATGGCAGCACAACCGTTCAGTCTGTTAACTACTCCTTCCAGCTTTCTATCCCTGTAAACCTGATGAACATGCACTCTGTTCTACCACTCAGGTCACTAAATGAGGAACATTAAAGAACAGTACTAGATTCAGTATGTGAACCTCAGGGAACACTAATAAAGACTGGCTGAGAGATGGACTCTCTTTCTGAGACCATCAGTTCAGTTTGTGAGGATCATTTCCGCCCAAACCAGTACCAGGTCAACTCATCTTCCATTTGCTGCTGATATACCTGTAAAATTCCATCTTGTTACATTTTATATCCCTTTTAGATTCAACTCCAGGTGAACTTGGGGTTTCTCAAACTGATTTCTGTCTCCTTGAATGATGTCTCTCTACTTCTTCAAGGTCACCTGATCTTGCTTCTACTTACGTATGTTTCTTTTTTTATGTTCAAGTTTTATCAGGAGATCCTTGTTCATCCATGCTGGCCTCCGGTTGCCTTTCTTCCTACTATTGGTACTGGTGACTCTTGATCTTGACGAAAGACAATATCTAAAATCAAACAGTTCTCCCGGTCCTCCTCCTCTCCAGATCTGCTTAGCATATGACTGTACTGGGTTTGCATGGTCAGGTAACTGCTGACTGATTTCTCTCAGTCCTTTTCTTGATTCATGAACTTTATTTTCTTTCCCATTTTACTTCATTTATCCCTGCAGAGGGGTAGTGATAGAGAAGCTTTGGTGGGTACCTGGCACTCAACCAAGATAAACCCACAAGCAGATCACCGAACAGACCAGGGTCTGCCTTCCTGATTTCCAGGTTATGATCTTGCTATTTGCTTTGTGTCCTTCCCTCAGTATCCTGACCTCCACTATCTCACAGTCACTGCAACAAAATATGTTCCCTGACCTTCACATTTCCAATCTATTCTTCCTTGTTTGCAATTATCAGGCCCAGAAGAGCACATCCACTTGATGGCTTCTCAGTTATTGGTATCAGGAAGTTATTATCAATGCACTCCAGAAATTTCCTAGATTCCTTGTGCCCTGCTTGTTGCCCTTCAGATCTTAGACAGGCCGAAGTAACTCGTGGACCAGAACTGCAAATCACAGATTGGTTAGGGTGGAAAGGACCTCTTGAAGTCACCCAACCTGCCTGCTCAAGAAGAGTCAGCCAGGGTAGGTTGCCCAAGACCAAGATGAAAGTCCCATCTTTCATTTCTTCTTCATAAGGTGATGTATAGCAGATGGTTAATACAACAGTCACCCATGTTGGTCTTCTTGCCAGTCTTTACCCATAAGGTCTCAGCTGGCTCATCATCCAGGCAGAGCTCCAGTCCTGCTGCTGTCTTGCCAGTCTGTTTTTCCTAAAGATCCTGAATCCAGGCATGGTAGTGTTTTAATTGTGTGAGTTGTAGCACCTTCACTCTATGATTCCAGTGAGGTTGCAGCCCTGCAACTACATGCAGACCTCTAGTTCCTCCTTTTGGTTTCCCATGCTGCACGCATCAGTGTACAGGTACTTCAGAGAGACAATCAGTTGTGAACATATTACCAAGGAGAACGATGAAGTTTCCTCTCTAAAGCCATCATCTCAGCACCTTTATTCATACACAGACACTTCATGTGGGCCCCCTCCCTTCAGTCTTTATTACTTTTGAGGTATCTTGTGCCTGTATCAGCCAGAAGTTATCCGTATCTTGCCCTCTGTTTGCCAGTGTAGTCCACCACTTCTTCACTTGTTTGGGGGTCACCATCTGCCTCTCCCATTTCTCCTATTTTAGGGCTTGCATTACCATGCTGGTGGAAAACATTCATTTTGCCTTCAAGAAGAGAAGTCTGAACTACTTATTCTAACATTATTACTATCTTACGTACATAAAAGTTTTTACTGAGATTCAAACACATATGGAGCTGAAAAGACTTTATTTGCACCATTACTAAAACAACTTGCTTGCAAAAAAAAGAATGCAGAAAGTGTACCAATAGGTGATTTTTTTTTTCCACAGCTCTGAATTTTGTCTATTTTTGTTATCAAAATACCAATTTACTTGGAAATTTTTGGAGCAGTTTGTGTTGAAAACATGGTTATGTAACTGGCAGAAAGAAACGCATTATAAACTGCATTTCTTTTTTGTGTACGTATATGTATTTTTTAACTCAAAATTTGAAACAGAATCTGTGTGACTAGGAAGTCACAGAGAACCTCTTCACAATACTCTTATTTGAGGATGACATCAGCCTCCCCGATTCAGGTTATAAAGGAATTATTACAGTATTTTGATTAAATGTTGTCCATTTATCCACAAAAAGATAAAGAAATATAAAGTATCTACCTGATATGTTATTTCATCAGAGTTTGCAGGTGCTGGATGGGGTGTATGGCTCACCAGTATAACTTGCTGTGAGCCTGATCCACTTTGGCTAGTGAGACTGGAATCTGTGAGTATAGCAGGGAACTGCTGACCCTTTCAAAGAGGGAAGAAATAAAACCAAAAGCAGAATTATACATTTAAACAGATATACTTAAATAGCTAACTGAGTCACGTAAACTTTCATCTGCACTGAAATTTCAACCACACAATGACCCTAAATTTTCACTTTCTAGACTTTTACTTTTTTCAATCTCCCCACTCTATAGAATGTATTGCCAATGTGTCTTTGGTTCTTTATGACACCACAAAAACATTAAATTATGATAAAAATGAAACTAATGGTAAAGCTACTGGGGAGACGATTGTCCATACAGCACTATTTTTATATTTTTTTATAATGCCACCAGTTATTTAAGATAGTAAATTAAATTCTGTCTTGTTACTTGCTGTGAAAGGAACTGTTGCAACTGCTATTTAACTCTCATGTTCACAAGGAGGAAAAGAAAAAATTACCATATTAAATAATAGTAATATTTTTAGGAGTACTAAGCTGTATTACTGAATAGTGATGATGAAGTACACAGTTTATCACTAAAACAGTAGAACTTACCTGTTCAATGAAAAAAAACAACCCTGCAAAATTTACCTGCACTTCTGTTTAAACAGTTCATGTTTCTAGATGCCAGTATGCATGCATCTTTGGCAGAAAGAAGGAAAGTTAACTGAGTTTTCAAATATTATGTATTTACAGGACAAAATTATTTTCTAAGCAAAAATTTCAATTCCTGCCCTGAAAGACAGTAATATCAGTTTATCTGCCAGTTCCAAAATGCATGTCTTACCTGTGAAGTGATATTAAGTGTAACTGCATCAAGACCACCTGACAACATTCCCTGAGTGTCAGCAAGAGTCAAAGTGACACTACCATCTCCTCCAACTCCTGATGAAGACATTACCAAATTCTGGGCAGAAACTGAAGACTGTGACATGGGTGTTGTTGAAGGAAGGTTTGTTCCACCTGTTGTATTAAGTTCTGGAATATATGCAAAATGGTAAAAAAAAATCCCTGTTACAAACAAAACCTCTTAGTTGCCATCTTAAGTGAATTGAATTTCTATTTCTCATTTGCTAGGACTTTCTATTTTGGAATCAACTAAACCAGTTAAGCACCTAATCAAGCACTAAAAATTGTCAGAGTCAGACGATAAAGTGAGAAAAATTTCATCTAAATGTAGCTTGATGGACAAAATATTGCACAAACAGGTGTTTGTGTGTATATAAACAGATATAGGTAGAAATTCATATACATATTTAAAAACTCAAAATTTAAGCTTAGAGTTTGATATTTTATCACATCTGCAGCAAATGCACCAGTTTTCTCCGTCCTCCAGTTTATAGAAACAGCCTTTCAATACTCCTTTAACTGCCTTGAAGTACTAATCTAAGATACATCTTCTTGCTTTCATTTTCTTCTATGCGGAATGAAGTTCATTTAAACTGACAACAATTTAAAGCCTGTGGGAAAACACACAAAGCCCTGTGGTTCCTGAATTGTAATGTTCAAGATTATACCATTTCATATTTAGTTCCCTGGTCTAATATTTACTTTTTTAACAAAATCTTATCCCTTTTAATTACAAAAGTCTTTATATGCATACCTGGAGCATTTAGTGAAGGGCCCTGAGAAAGCAGCTGGTCGTTGCTTATAGTTAATGTAGCACCTGTAGTCTGACTGCTGATGGTTGGCGCTGACAGTCTTAAGCCAGTATTCAGATCACTGCCTCCAGAATTATGCTGAATAAGATCTTGGCCTGAATAGAAATTAGTCCTATTAAAACTGGAAATGTCACAACATTATTCTGCTACTGTTCTTGGAACTATAAATAATAGATCATAAAATAATAAAAGTAGTAAATACAACCAAAACATAAAATTATTTTCTACAAATGCAGATTTTTATGCAAAGGTGCAACAAGTTTCTAATATAGATGTGATTATGCAAATTTAGATACCAAGATCTAAAAAAATACCTGAGATTATTAATATTCAGACAAATACAGATCTTGCTTATCTAGATCCAAGATACCAACTTCATGAAACAGTAAAAATCCAGCATACCAAAGGCTAAATGTGGGTAAAGTGTGAGTTTTTTGATCTACTACACGGATAATAAGTTGCATTGAAGAAGTCTTGTAAAGACATCACTTAACATAGTGTTAATTTTGTCTGATGGTCAACAAGCACAGAACATGAAAACTGGAACACAGAAACAGAAAATCAAATCTATCAGTTGTTGGACAACATTTTTCTTCGATGAGTGATCACTCATGATAATTTTTTTAACTATCTTCAAATGTTACCTTATAAAATAGGGATCTGGTTCCATAAAAGATTTTTAAAGATACCAACCAGATATTGTAAGAGTGATTTCTTGAGGGCTTCCTGATGAGGTCGCATTAGTAGAGCCTGAAGCATGAGCTAAAACTTGACTCAAACTGGAGTTATTTATGGTCAACATTATCTCATGCTGTCCATTTGAAGATGACACCATACCCTGTGAAGTTATGACTTGAGAAATGTCCTGTGCACCTAAATATAAGGGGTAGATTAAAAAAAATAAATATCCATGAAGAGCCTTTCATTATAATAGACAAAATCTTTTAAAGCATTATTTTCTGAACCACAATAAATGATGTAGCCAAGGGGACATGCTAAAACTTGCATTCTAAAAGGTAAATTTTCATATCCAATCTATTCCTCTGCAGTGAAGATTTTCAGAACAAGGAATTTGTATTTTTCTTAAGACTTTGGAAGTTCTTAAGTATTTTCATTACACAGAATCATAGAATGGCCTGGGTTGGAAGGGACCTTAAAAATCATCTAGTTTCAACCTCCCCTGCTGTGGACAGTAACACTTTTCACTAGACCAGGTTGCTCAGAGCTCCATCCAGTCTGGCCTACAACACTTGCACGGATAGGAAATCCACAACTTCTCTAGGCAATCTATTCCAGTTCCTCACCTCGCTCAGAGTAAACAATTTTTTCCTAATTAATATCTAATATAATCCACCTTCTGAAAAATAGTATTAGAAAAGGGTAACAAATAAAGCTGTAAAATTTGCTGAAGATGCTCATGCAAGAACTGCATGTTTATTTTATTAAATTAAATTAGGTATTTGCCGGGGGGGGGTAGGCAAGGGGGGTGACATTTTCTCACTTCTTATTTTTATTTATCACAAATAAAACCAAGAAATTCAAAGCACAATAAAACTATTGACACTGCTCACCATTTGCGCTGGTTGTCAGCACAGACTCCTGCTCAGATAGGGATCCTATTGTCATGTTAGCAGATGATGTTACTGTGGGCTGCAAAGACAGGCCTGATATGGGTTGAATAACCACATTAGCTGGCACTGCACTTTCTGTTGCCTGGAGGGAGGGATTCTGTGGAGGCATACTGGGATCTCCAGTTAGCTGCTGAGTAAGTAAATTACTCTGCTGCAACGTCTGCTGTAGAATACTTGGATCGATCTGAAAAACAAGTTTCAATGATCAATCTGAAGTTAAAACAGGTAGGTTAAAATGAATATTCTTAGCATAAATCCAGAATTCATATTTATTGCATATAGACTATATATAGTTCTTAAACTTTATAATTAACCATTTTAAACTTAAATTTATCTTTTATCTGTCAGCGTATAGCCAGTGTCTGAAGTCACTAAGTATCCAGTCAATTCAGATTCACAGGTAGATTCTTCTCTCAGCAAAATGTTTGAGAAATCCTCCTCATAGTTACATATTAGCATGGAAGGTACCAGGTAGACACACACCACTGGTATTCTGTACTGTCTTATTACTGCATGTAATGCTTATCACTGTCGTCAAGCCGTTGAAAGTGAAAAAGGCACAGAGAAGAGTGATACCAGAAATTTTTTTTTCAGCTACTAGGGCTCATTAAGGTCCCAATTCGCAATCCAACTGCTGTTCTCTATAGCTAAAGACAGATTTTACTCTTCATGGACATTTAGTGATTGAGAAAAACAAAAATTAAAATGTCTTCATTTTACGCTAAAAACTCCTTGTTTAGAGAGACTCCAAGCAACCCAATACAACTCTGCAGATGGCCCTTCCCTAAACTTGGGGTTGTACCTGGTGACCTCTAGAGGTTTCCTCCCATCTCAATGATTCTGTAAAACTAATCAAACACAACCAAGTTCATAAAAATCATTGTTTCACATCTTTCAACTATAAACTTTTAAATGTAATTATCTCATCTTTTTTCTGCTGTTCCTTTTACAACCTCAATAGGAATTAAAATTTTGAATCCAACTATTAAAAGCTTGCAAAATTACACAGGTGTCTTATCCGTGCAATAATTTGGGCTTGTTTGAGGGGATTGGAGTGGGGATGCCTTCTGGGGATTGCATGGAAGCTTAAAATACTTTCAGAGGGAAAAGACAAAATGCAATTAAAAGAAAAAAACCCGTATTTTAAAGCAATATGCCAAAATTCCAGAGGAATAAAAGAAAAAAAATTAAAAAAAAAGAAATCAAACCAGAAAAATACCCCACTGTGTAGCTTCTAGTGTTGTAAAGCTCATACAGCAAGGTACTGCCATGCGCCTCACTCAAGAGAACTCTTCCAGAATTATGTATGCTTCTTAAACTTTCTTCAGGCCTCAAAGTGACTCCATAAAATTAAAATGAAGAAACTGTAAGTAACCTACCTGTAATGTTATGTTGTTAATACTGGTGGTATCTATTCCAGAAATTTGAACATTTTGTCCAACCAGATTAGCAGCAAGTTGTAGCTGTATTCCTTCAAGAGTGGCCAAGCTACCATCTGTCAAGGACACAGTTAAGTCACCTCCAGCTACCAAAGAAAACAGTTATATTATAATGTTTTCATTTATCATTGTTGGCTACCTCTTTTAGTTTGTTTATTTTTATAAATTAAATCAAGACAAAAGCTACATAGACAACATTTATTTATGCCAAGAAAAACAATTTGAAGTAGATGATTGCCTGTTTTAAAGCTTCATAAATTCAGTGTGATTTAAGGATTGTTACTTAACAACTAGCTAGCATCTTACAAAGCAAGAACTCCTCCAGAAAAGCTTTAGAAACCTGGAGAAATTTGGTAGAAATTTCGTTGGAGAGTGTGCTCACCTAAACACAGCAGCACTCACACATGGTATTTACATTCTGACTCTGAATATACACGTGAAAGCTACTGCCACATTTTGCACAGTACAAATGTTGTTCAGTATCAAGGTTCATCCTATGTACTTACACAGATGGAAATAAAGATATGTAAGCATCTGAAACCTAAAAATCTTTAGAAGTTTGAAAGGTTCTAATTTCAAAAGCTGAATAGACCATCTCTACAAAAGGTCTTGAGAGAATACAAGGAAAAAATCATCTTCTGTTTGACATACCTTCTTTTCCAAACACCTTGAGTGTTATCAACCAGTTTTCTTTGGTTGATGCTTCAAAAACATCTATCCCTTCTTCTGTGAAATTCTTTGGTATAATAAATCTGCTTTACAATGCACCCAAAAAATACCTGCTCTGGGCAAACCCCACATTATTAATCTAAATTTAAGAAGGTCTTCTTCTAGGACATCTGAACATGCTAAACATTCCTCCTTACTGTGTTCAATCAAAAATCCAAGTCAGTTTTTAATCACAAATTTACCACTAACTCTACCTGTCAAGTAACATCAGTATTTTCTGAAAAAACAATGATTTTTTAGTTTTTGACAGCAGTTTGGGTCAAATCAGATAAGCTGGAATGGCTACAGTTAAATACAAGACTGATACAATACTCTGAATTTGTGGGCATACCTGCAAAATCAAACATGTACTGAAAAAAGTGCCAAAGAAGCACAGAAAAATCAAAGTCTCACTTTCAGAAATGACAGTCTGAGGCCCGCAATTTAAGTAATACATTTAACAACACCAGGGCACATTTCCAGACATCTGAACACTACTCTGCTCTTAAAATCGCCTCTGTCCCAAGTTTACTTGAGCACTTAAACTGTGTCAGTGAACACTTATACAAACAATACCTGAAAACAATTCAGAAGTTAGTAAGGATCATTATCAAAAGGTCATTTTCTTGCAACATGAAGCATATTGGGTATTCTCTGTCAGTTGGCTTCAAAGAATGATCTGTGGCACATTTAATGTGCTAATGCAGCTGTAGGCACGGCTAATGGGTAAGACTTCATTATTCATGTAAATAACTGGTGCAGAGAAACAGAATAACTGTTTTGTCTTTTTTTTTTTTTTTTAAGAAAGCAATAGAGTATTACCTAAAGGAATAAAAGTACTTCAGAGCTATTTGCTATCTGAATTTTCTTCCTCTCTGCAGTGCAACACCACAGCAGAAATAAAGAGATCTTTCTAGGTGAACATTTTCTAGGTATACATTTTCCCCTTACTTCTTAAATAAATAAATTTCTATTTATGTCACCACTGCACATCGTACCGTGAATTCAGTACATCTCTTACCTGTTTGGCATAATTTTCTGAACTCTAACAGAAAGCAAAGTTCAGAACTTGATCTCACCACCACCACCACCACGTCATCCATTTTTACCTGACACTGAAGCAGGCAGAATAGCCTGGCCCACAAGTCCTTGTTGAAGTAAATTTTGATCAAACTGACTCGTCAAAACGGAGTTATTCATGATGAAAACGTTAGGGTCTGTAGAGGATGAATTAAGAAGGCTGACTGGCTGTAGTCCCTCAGTTGAAGTACGGGCAACAGGCTTCCTAACTTTCTTTGTCTCTGGTTTATAATGACATTGTATGTGGGTTTTTCTGCGCCCCGAAGTACGAAACCGTAAATCACAGTGTGGACATTTGAAAGGTTTTGCTCCTGTATGCAGACGCATGTGGACTTTTAGACTCCCTTTTGTAGAAAAAGAATTACTGCACACGTGACAACAGAAAAGCTTCTGGCCTGGAAAAGTTTCAAAACCAGAAAGGTAAGTTATAAAATCTCTAAAATAACGATAGCACTAAACCATCTATTTAACAAAAATCCCCAATATATTCTGGACTAATCGGAACAGAATAAATTTGAAGTAACTGGACTTTTTCTTTATAATTTTGGCTGCTTTTCAAATGAATTAAGGACTTCAATGAAGGGCATATTAATTTTTTCCCATTATTAAAACTCAACATGCTGTGAAAGCTGTCACGCAGAATCATACTTGGTCACCTTCCTGCCTCTGTCCTCCTCCTTATCTCACCTTCCTGATTAATCCAGTTGTTTCAACTACACAGTCCATAAACCAGAGAATTAGAAGTTTTATCTCAACCTCTTCAGCATTTGCCTTAATTTCCTTTTTAATTCCAGCAGCTTTATTCTTCTGTCTCAATACTGTCTCAATACTGACTAGAATTAATTGTTTACAAGCAGGAAATTAATAAAATTATGTGATAACATTATAAGATAAAATACCAGTTCCTCAAAGTAATCTACAAGTACAGAAATCTGGCCTATACATATACAGACCTCCTCGTCCTCTCTCAGACTGCATAACATCTGAAAAAAACTTTGGTCTCAAATGGAACTTTTAATGTAATGCAAGTAAAAGCAAACTGTGCAGTTTATCTCCTTAACCAAATCTACAATTGTACAAATCACATAAAGCATAACGTAAATATCTGGCAGAAAACATGCCACTGCAGCTGGAAACTCCCTACAACTCCTGAAATTCCCAGGCCTTCCAGCACAATATTTCTTCCTAGCTAAACAAGGGAAAGAAATCAATGCATTCCGTAAAGAAATCACAAAAACAATGTGTGCCTATGATTCCTGGTATTGAGTTCTAGTTTCCATTTACACAGAAGAACCTCTCACCAAATTCCTGAATTCAGTTCAACCTACTTCAAATTACAGATTTAGATTACAAAACCTTGGCACTGTCATCACTTTTTCTTCATCAAAACTAAGTAAACCTCTGACAATGTTCTGTTTCAAATAATGGAGAAGAGCCCAATAACATGAGCCAGTAAGACAGTGGGAATCTGGGCTGCTGAAAAGCTGTCTACCACATTCAGAGTGCCACACAAAGGAAGCCATCTAGCAGCCTTTCTCACTAAAAAAAATCCCACCCATTGGGAGAAGAGGGAAATAAAAAAAAAAGAAAAGCAAGAGAGAAGCAAACAAAAAAAAAACTAAGCAGAAAAGAGCAAACTGAACATCTGAAGTCCTGTTATTTAAATAGTAAAGGAGGTTATTACCTGACTCTGGATAAATCTAATGTAAAATATTCCATTAAAGGTAGAGAACAAAGAGTAAAGTCCCACAACTTTTCAACTGCTTGAACCTGAATGTACATGACAAAATCCCTGCTTTGTTCTTTTGATTATCTTTACCATCTGCTACTGTCTCAGACAAGACACTAATCTACACGACGATCTGATGTAACACGCAAGTAGTACTTCTTATTAAACAACAGAAGAAAATAGAAATACAGTGAATTGAAGAGGGAGTTTCCATGAGCAAAATAATTACGTATTATACTATTAAAAGCTTTCTATCTTGTCTTTTGTACTTTTGAAAAGAGATAATAATGAAGCTTAATGAAACTGAAGCCAGTTTTAGAAATTAATTAGTTCAGGATTGGGTTTATTCCAGAAGTTCAATGGAAAGAAGGAAACAAGTATGAAAGATTTAGAGGGGTTTTTTTAATTAACACAAAATCAGGCCTCTCTCAGGAACACAAAGAAATTACTGTATAAACTTAAATGTTACAGATATTAGGTTTATATTCAACTTGCATGATTCAAATAGCTGAATGCTCAAATTTTTTGTACTTCTATTTTTCAATTTACTTAGCAGCACAAACATTAATAATTTTTTTCCTCAGTTTAATTTTATAAAATCCTCCAACTCCATCTTCTTGCTCAGGAAAATCATTTATCATCGAAATGCCACAGAAGATTTGATGTGAAAATGTTATGGATACTTGCATACATAGTTTTTGCATGAGATAAGAGTATGACTACTTTAGAAACCTACTAACAGGGAAGGCTGTAATAATATGGTTTATTCAATATGTCGTAATACGATTAATTTGACAATGCCATAAGAACCAAATATCACTGACTGCTGACATTCACAGTGTCATGTGCTAGATCCCAGTGAAACATACCATTCCTTGCAAAATCTGCACTTAAAACAGCTGGTCAAGAAAGCAACCAGTTTCTAAACATAGACATTCAAAATCTTACTGACCTGTGTGTGTTTTAACATGACAATCCAGAGTGGATTTTACAGTGAAACTCTTTCCACATTCTTCACACTTATACGGCTTCTCTCCAGTATGGATACGAACATGCCTAATAATTCCAGAATACGTGTACACGTGAATTTCTATTTTCATGTCAGTTTGCAAAAATATTTATTTTCTATCTTACTAATTTTAGAATTAATTAAATCCTTATACTATCATTACACTAAGCAGAACAAGTAAAGAACATTTAAGTATTTGCCTTTTTTCCCCAACTGATTTTTACATCTTTTATATGCAGGTTTATAGTAAGAAAAAAAAATTTATTCAAAAAGTTCATAATCATAATTTCAATACTGCAAGAAAATAAATATGAAAAGGCTGGGTTAGTCATATTCAGAAAATGTATTTTATATTTTGACATTATGTAAATATGAGTCAAACTTCAACTTTAAGCATAAAGAGTTATATGAAACCATTATTGCTTAAGTTTCTGGTGAACAATTTAGCAAATTAGAAACACACAAAACTTTTTTATTCCTTACCTGACTAAATCACTCGGTTTTTTAAAGCTTTTGGGACAATAACTACAACAGTTGGCATATTTGGGTTCTGCTTCCAGTTCTGCTTGCTTATCTTTGATCTCACTAATTCTGTCTTTCTCTGCAGCAGACTGGACAAGAACTTTTTCTGAGACAGTGGCACTTTCTTGAGGCCTAATCTTTGCCAGTTCTGCTGTTTCTTCTTCTGTAAAAGTTATGACACCAGGACGAGATTTTCTGGAAGTTCTTTCAGAGTTTTCATCATCATCTTCAACACATGCAACTTTTAAGGAAAAAAAAGAAAAAGCAAAACAAAAAAATCAAACTAAACCAAAAAACATGTATCTGTTTAGTTTAATCTATCAGCTGAAATTAAAAAAAATAAAAGGGTTTATTATTATACACATGGCCACTACATTAAATGCTTAGACTTTCTTTCAGAGCTCTAATTAGTCATGTCTTTACTTCATTTAAAAAAAAGCTGAATTTCTAGTTCTTATTTTTACAATAACTAACACAGGTATAAGTAATTTAGGACAAAAAAATTTTCTACTTTGGAGATATACTTAAGTAACTATGTCACATACAGTACCTTAAATACCCTGGACAGATCCTGGAAAACATTTCTTTAAACACTTTAGATAACACAGCAATTTTAGCAGCTCTAGACATCAGACATTATCCATGCTGGAAGGTTATTTTGTAACATTACTGTTACAGTATTCATGTAATCCACCAAAACATCTGTACTTCTTATGGAGTAAGGACTGTAAAAGTAAAAGCAAAATGATTTACCTCCCCCTCCTGTATCTGTAGCTGCTGCTACAGCTGAGGAGACTGACTGATGTTTTTTCATATGTTTTTTGCAGTGAACAGTTGTTCGAAAGCTTTCATCACAGAATGGGCACTTGTAAGGCTTCATGCTCATGTGAGTTGCCATGTGCCTGGTAAGGCTGCCATTAGTTGTGAAGGAGGTATTGCAAATGCTACAGCTGAATGCTTTAACTCCTTAAAGTAACAGAAACAAATAAGTAGCATGCTATTTGTTTAAGTTTGCTTACACAGGACATTTACAAAACTCAGAAATGGGTTAAGCTAATACGGAGCTGGTATACTCTGTTACCTGTATGAGTCTTCTCATGTGACTTAAGAACTCCTGAGGAAACAAAACCACGTCCACAGAGTTGGCATTTATAAGGTTTCTCACCAGTATGTGATCGTACATGTTGTTTCAAATGGCTGGATTTCTTAAAACCCTTGTTGCAATATTCACACCTATTAGAAGAAAATGGTTTTCATTAGTTGTATACTATTACTAACCATAGAAGATTCAGGAAATTCTGTAACAGAACCTAGAAATATAACAAACCTATAGGAACGCCTACTTTGATCTTCATTATCCTCAAGAAAATGAGGCCGCTGGGTATGCAATTCAAGTTCTTCTTGCGGTGACTGATCTTGTATCAAGCGAGTAGTCTAAAAATCAAAGCCTCAAGTAAATTTTAATAACACAATACTGAAATCACACATATAGGCAAGAAAAAATTTACAGCATTTATAGTCAATACAAGTAATCAAATTTATGCTTTCATAAATTTTGTCAAGAAATTAAGAACTGTACATGATACCTCGCTCTTTCCTAGTGAGAAGGCAAGCACCAAAATGTTCGTCTACTGTATTGGAATAAAGAGACAATGTGGTGCATTTATACTTCTCTGAATCTACACAAAAATGTATCTAACTTGTCCGGATTTTCTAGTGTTGGAGAAGTTGAATTTAAAACTAGAGTAGCCATTTTAAACACTTGACTAGCAAAACACAGTGTTGCTGACAGACTTCACTACTTTTTGAACATTCCCATGAGTAAAAGCCATCACAGAATAATCCTTAAAAACAACAGCATGTTTTAAGATTTGAAGAGAAGAAAACTACAAAGCCTGTAGGTTGAAATTACTCAAACTCTTCTAGATCCTAAACCCCACTTCAGTTCTCTGATTGACATCTGCAATTCACAAACAAGCTTGAAGAGACAATAACTCATGCAGATCATCATGGTAAGTATATTACGACAGGTGGTCTTCATTCTAGGTGCTGCTACCATCATAAAAAGTTGTATTTAAACTGTATTTTTAGCAATTGAGTTCTTTTACAAATTTAACAAGATGAAAACCACACAAGAACATCATACACTGTGATATGCAAGCTCCATGAATGACCGCTATACATTTGTAATGCTTTTTTATTGCTTGATCATATATACCTATAAATATCAAAGAAATTAAGACATAAGATAGTGTGAAAATGTACAATTATTTTCTAACTTTGTGTCCTTTCCTGAGTTTTAACATTGCAATCCAACTTTACAGCATTATATCTTTTTTTAAGTCTAAAATACCAAACCATACAATTCCTTTTTTAGAAACATGTAGTCAGGTCACTTATCCTCTCCCCACCATTCTGTTTTCCAGTTGTTAAACATAATCAATTTAGAAAAGAAATCCTGAAACTTTTCTGACTTCTTATTTTACTTATCACCAATGAAATGGTGCAAAGAAACTCACCACTGAACACAAAACAATGAAGCCTGCCTTCTAGCAGTACTTACTACATTAATAGTGTCTGTATTTGGAACCTGAAGAAGGGCTGGTGGGTGGTAACTCGTTGAAAGAGCCTGAGATTCAAGTGTGCTTGAATCCTGCAGCTGCTGTACAGCTGGAAACTGAGTCTGTTGATTGTAGCTGTCATTCACTGCAAAACCTGCCAGAAATTAAACAGTCACAAAGCTGGAAAATACACTGAATTGGGCTTTGAATAACACCACACTTCTCTGAAAACTACCTTCAAAAGAAGTTAAGTAGTATTACTACATCATAATACTTGTACTCTTCACTGTTGAGTGTCAAAATGCACAAATGTTTCTGGCATCTATGTAATATGCATAATAGGGTTACTTACCATTAGCTGGAATTCTATTGGAAAATCTCCTCCACAGAAAAACACTGTTTGAAGTTTCTTCGGAGTGCCACAATTACCTTAGAGCCATTGAAATTTTGAATTTCTTGTATGTAAGCATGCATGTGTCAAACAGGTTGACCCATCTCCCTTTATCCACGTTGGTACCACGCTCCCTTAACTACACTGGAAGCCGATCACAAGGATGCAAAGCTCAGTGGGGAGGATGGCGGGTGAGTGGAGGAGATGACCCAATAGGAGAACTCCAGTTTCTGATAAAGTAACCCCATTTTCTCCTACTTTGGATCTCCTCCACATATTCCCACTCTTTAGATAATAGTAAAGTAGAGCCTCTCAAAGGCAAACTGCAAAGTGAAAAATAAACATATTTTTATTCACATTTTCAGTAAAAAGACCTGAAATTTTTATTTGGTTCTGTTCTCCTAAAATACCAGATCTTAATTACCTCTTTTTCTAAATGAATGAATGAAATGATAGCATCAATGATTCAGAGCCAGGGAAATATAGCTCAGATTGCAGTGTTTTTTTAATGCTTTTAGAGATGTCCTTTTATCAACCCTTTTAAGTCCTAATGCTTCTAAAAAAACAACCCACAATGTAATGTGGAAAAAAATGAAACCATAAATATCAGTAATTAAGGTAATTGGGCAACAATTTTAGTACTTCTGTGCAGTTTGCCTTTAGTGGACAAAAAGGGTGAAGATTATGAAAAAAGGGTAGAAACAAACCCACATCAGAAGACCACAGCATCAAAGGCCAAAGAGCAATGCTTAAAGAATGTTTTGAATTACAGTATAACAAAAACTTGGATGTGTTAAGTTTAAGCAGAAATTTTCCCAAAAGACCCTTTCCACAGCAGAAGAATACTGTAATCAGTAGAGGAAAAAACTCCTACTATATATGTATATGCTACTGCTTTCACCATAGAATGAAAACCCATAAATGTAAACAAATCTTGAAAGCATTACTAGGTCATAACTTGACACCAAATCTAACGTTGCAATTTCCATGTAATTTTCTCTACTACAACTTGTAATCCTACAAGATTACAAGAAAGACTCAACAAGTTGAACCTTGCATCTCAATTATTTAGTGAAATGGTAAAATAAAAAAGTAGCCTGAAGAACAGCAATGAAAAGTTTTGCAGTGATAAGAGGGCCGCTAATTTATACTTTTCAAATAAATTTTATAAGTATCTTTATAGAAAAATGGCATTCCCACTACACTGGATGAGAACACAAAAAAACCCAATACTAAAGAATCTGAAGCAAAATGATGTCACTTCCATGCCCTACATAAAAAAAAAAGGAACGTAACTATTAAATGCACAAAGAAACAGCTACCTAAAAAAAATGAAACTCCTTTTTTAATTGGTGGGTAAATTCTACTAGCTAAGAAGGAAAAAAGACGTTACTATACCATGACCTGTTTTGCTTCACTGTGTTTAAATAAAAGCAATTACAGACATCCTGAAAAATTTCCCAGGATTATGCAAGAAAATGCTCAGAAAAAAAAGCTCTGAATGTAGAGGTACTTGAGGACAAACTGAAGAAACACTACTTCTGAAATTAGTTCTGAAATAAATATGGACCAAAGCTGTAACAAGAATATATCTGATGCATCCCCATTTTGCCGAAAACCTAACATGAAGGTCATTTTCCATCAAAAAAGTTCTGACAACTTTAGCACGCTCAAAGGCATTTGCTACCACCATACTATTTCTACAGAACAGCATTAAAATACCCCACACCACCAAACACCAAAAATCAGACATTCAGTCTGAGAGAGAAATAAATTTCACCACCTTTACTTTTCTGCTCTTGTTTTCATCACTATATATTGTTTCCTGAAGCTTTTGATCAATCTTCAAAGAACAGAGAACATCTGAAGCTCTATATAATAAAGGGAGTCTCTTACTATAAAGTCTTCTAAGGCTGGAATTGCATTTTGCATTTTTCAGTACAAGTAACCATTTATGTTGCTTGGGGTTTTTTTTGGCTTTCGGACATCACCCGACCTATTGTCTTCTATATTAACAAAACATACTGAAAAATAGAATACTCTAGAAATCAGTTTACTACTGTAAAGTTGTGTCTTGCACATGAGAATGGGAAAACAACAGCATGATACTCATAGGAAACACAATATTTTAGTTTAGACAAAACTGCAAGTCTTGACTGGCAGATCATTCGAATTCTAACATTACAAACATCTACATGCACATGTGCATCTCAGCAGGGACCAGTGCCTAGCAATTAAATGTTCTGCAGGTTTGCTTCTTAAGCAAATTCTGCAACCAGCTGAACAGTACTGACTGGAACCAACGTGTAAATAGTTACTGAAAAATCAGAATTCCAAGTCCTGAGATCACAGATCAACTTCTTAGGAAAGCAAAAAACAGTCTGATGGCAAAGGTTTATTTCTACGGGCTACAGAATAACATTTGGAAGCATTTGGACTTCTTGCAGTTTTGCAAGGTCACTCACCTATCACTACTATTTGAATTATCATTCAACCATGCTTACAGGGAGACTTTAAAGGAAGAAAAGGTGATACAATTTATATGAAAACACATTTTGTGATAGATATTATTCAATAACCCCAAACCAATTTCATATAAAAGATACAACTGATTCTTCTGATATCACTAAAAAGTCTTCAAATGAAGATGCCTGAACACATAAACTACCAAGGACACAAGTCCTTTTCCTCAGTTGTCAAATCTAGCTCATATGAATCATAGATTATCATTCAGCAGCACCCTCATAGGATCTGCACCTCTTTTTACAAGTCTGAACACGTCAAGAAGAAAACCTATCTGAATAAACCAGAAAATCAGAAAAAGTATTACAAACAAACCTGAAAGAATAAACGAAGTTCTGGCAGGTCTGTGCAGACCTAGCCTCATCTGGCTGAAATGCTAAGATTTTTTTTTTTCTTAAAAAAAAATAAAGACAAATCAAAAACCTATCAAAGATAGATTTTATAACTCCTACATTGTTTTATTAATAAACACTGAACCAAAATATTTTAACAAGAATACAGCCTATAAATATCAAGGATAAAAAAGACACAGTGTTTTAAGCTTTAGTGTTCTGCCTAGCTGATAGGAAAAAGAAATTAGGAGCATGAAGCACAGATGCAGACATAGGGAGAGGGTCGACCAATTTAACGCATGCATCCGCGCAAATGCTTACCTACCTGAAATTCAAAAATTTTGAAGGGCTCCAGGATCTTCAAGGAAACTTCAAAGAGTAGGGAATCTGTGGATGAGATTCCAAGTAGAACAGGAGACATCTTATACAAATGAGACTTTAAAAAGCCCACGCCACAAATGTTCTGATTCTCTGTACCAACTCTACAATGTACCGATGATCAGTCTGGATTTCTGACGATGAAAGAATTGTTTTGTGAGTTCTAGAAGAGTCTCTCCCCTCCCCAAGAAATCATTTAATATTTATTTAATAGAGAAGATACACATACATAGAAACTGAAGTTTAAATAAGATCAATGTGTACATATTGGGTTTTCAAATTCAAAGGTGCCACTAATAAGCAAACAAACCCCACCACTACTCTCCAGATTACATAAAGGCTGCACTTTTTTTCTGTAGTCTCTTTTCATTCATTTGGAAAACTGTAGAAGGTAACCAGTGAAAATTGTCATAGCATTTAAGAGGACCTGGATCAATTCCTGTTTAATAAAGGTGGAGATTTAATTTTTTTTCCTTACATACAAAGCAGCACAACCTAGAGAACTAAAATCAGAAAATTATGCTATTTCTCACAGTGTCATGCAACTTACCAGAGTCAATTAAGTTTTTACAAAAGACTCTATAAAACTTAAAGTTAAAATGAAACTAAGAAAAGGTAAGTTTGTGCAGATGGAATACAAATTACTCTGTACCAGTTACAGAAAGTAATTTCCTCGAGTCAGAAACAAGGATTAAGAGATCAACTGGGCATCCACGGAGGTATGCTTCCCAACCAAAATAAATGAAAACCCCTTGAACATTCTCCATGCAAGGAACTCCACATGCCAGCCCCCCTCAAAAAACTCCAACCACTAAAAAAACCTCAAAACACATCCAAACAAAATTAATAGCTTCATATTAAACAACAATTCAAGAAATCCAGCAGTGAAAAGCAAAGAAAGGCAGTCACTTCATTATTTGCAGGCTACATAAGCCTTACACATTTCTCTGTATTTTATAGGGAAAAAAGTTCTCAAATGCTTCCAATCTCTTAATTTGTTACTTACATTACTCTATAAAACACAAAATGAAACTGTTGTGGATAGGTGAAAGTATGATTTTTTACATGACTCTATTTTGCACTATCTTTTTTGAAAATGAACCCAAATAGCTACTCAGTCAAATCTTACTGTGTTTCTGATCATTTCAGGTTATGAGCATGCATATTTAGGGGGAAATTTGTGTAAACTGCCTAATACCACAGCAATTTCAAACACAATCAAAGAAAGAATATTAAGTGCCTGACAATAATATTCATACTATAATGACTAGACATTGGCTCATAAAAGCAAAATCTACATTTAAGTATTCAAAATATTCTACCAAGTATAGTTTCAAAACAGTAAATTTTTTGCAAGTTATCTGCATTGCAGTTACTCTGACTGCAGGTGCTCACTTTAGAAATGCTTTATCTTAACTGTGATGAAAAGCTAGATTTATAAAAATTACTTTTTAAAAACCTTTATTCATTACTAACCTTGTGATAAGCTCTGCTGATCAAATGGCTGCTGTGTTATAGCCTGTTGTTCAAACTGAGTGATGTTTTCCTGTAAAGCATGCTGGGATGTCACAAATCTATCTGAAATGGGGAAGGGAAGGGGGGAAGGTGGGAGGAGAAAAGAAAAGAGAAAAATATCAAGAAAAGAAGACATAAATAACTGCATACTTCAGTTGTTTCCAAATCCATATACTGAACTTTCCCTGGATTAAAAAGAAGTTAAAAAATTATGAGCTGAACAGGTATTTAAACCTTGGGTTATAGTACATGAAAGAGTAAATAAGTAAAACCAAAATACTTTGTTTCACTATTATGAATAAGTACATTAAATATTTCATATTCTCTAACCTCAAAACACAGGTATTACTTTCTAAGTAGACTATACAGAAGTGCTTTTTATTAATAAGAGCTGATGTGGTGAAGTTTTGTATAATTTTTCTGCATATTTGTTTAGTAGTTTTGTTTGCTACTACTACAGAGTGAGCAAATCTTAAACAATCTTTTTACATTTTAACAGCAAATGTAAACAGCAATGAATGAAAGAAATTGTACCATATACTTGAAGTAGCTAGCCTTTACTCCATGTATTTTTCTAGTTGTTTACTTGCATTGTCTTGAAATCTAAAGCGCTGAAATTTGTCGAGAAACAATTATTTGAGAACTTGTAAACTTACCTCATTATAAATGCTATCGTATTTCAAATACTCACCCTCATCTTGCTCTAACGGCTGATCAGCCAACTGTTGTTCTAGTGCTGTTTCTTCTGTGCCTACTACTGGTTGCTGGTCTAACTCTAAAATAGCCTGCTGATCTGTTGCAACAGCTTCTGACTGCTGTAGCTCTTCACTTTGAATCTCCACTTGCATCTGTGTAGAAACATGAATGCTCTGCTGATCTACTGTAGAATCATCTATGGAAGAGGGCTGCTGATTCTGCTGAAGTTGCTGTGCAAGTTCATATCTGCAAAGGAAGGTAAGAAAACCTTTTTGTGGTTTCAGTTAGACGCTTACCTAACTATTTATGTGAACAATCTACTATTTTTATTATACGTCATAATTTACTATACCTTCAAAGGTACCTATGTGTTTGCTACCCATAAATAAACATTCATATTCAAATATATGCATTTGTTACAGAGTAAAGCTGCCTTTCCAAGTATCTTTAAGGAATGGCACTGAACATGTTTCCAATTTTTACATACCTATGAGTCTTCATGTGTTTTTTACAGTTTAGTGATGTTTTGAATGTCTTTTGACAATACGGACACATGTAGGGTCGAAGATCATTATGGATCCCCATATGTCGCCTAAGGCTACCACCAGTAGTGAAGGCCCCGTTGCACACAACACACTTGAAAGCTTTCAATCCAGTGTGTGTTCTAATATGTGCTTTCAGAACTCCAGCTGACACAAAACCTCTTCCACACTGAGAGCACTTAAATGGCTTTTCACCAGTATGCGACCTTTTGAAGAAAAAGCAGAAGATTTAACAGTTTGATTTCCAAAGTTATTAAAGGATTAAATTTTAAAATGAGCAAAATAAACCAAACTAAGGTGACACTTGTATGGATGGAAGAAGCCTCAGTTAAGAAAATCCAGAAATTAAAATCTTAAAAAGTTACAAACAGCTTGTCAGGTCTATGCAATACTGTACTACTACTACATTTAATAACAAAACTTCTGGTAAATGAACCGTGTCCATCCTGAATATCTCCTGATCAAGGCGCAGTACAACTGGTCTGTCATAACGCCATGTGAAAAAATATTCAAGTGGGGAAAGCCTCTCATTTATACTATCAAAATATATAGCACTTGCTATATCCTTCCCCAGAGGTATTAGAAGAGCTTCCATTTAAGACTACAGTAAGATACAAAACAAATTGAAGGACGGGTTAAAAGAATGCAGTGGAGTTACTGTTTTGCTACCGATATACACTATAAAAAATAGTGTTAGGGTATTCAAACCCTTCCTGTGGATAATGTGACATACTGTTCAGTCACTAATCTATTGAAAATACCCCATCTACAAATTTCCCTCTGATTCAGAGAGAGAAACAAGCCTTGTAAGCAATGATTAGCACTACTCCATGAGAACAGACTGACCACACAAGTATCTAGCCTAGCAGTTTAGTTATAATAAGGCAAACTTACAAAGAACAAACATGGAAAAAGGGGAGTTTCTAATTCCTCCAGGAAACCCCAAACAGAGCCATGCTTCACTCAGTGCTCTTGCAAAGATTAATCAAAGCAGCACAGCAGCAGGTGACAGATACCCCCATCACATCTTTACATTTTCAGCATAATTAGAAATTACTTTAAATCAATTCAGCTTGATTGTGTCTATAAAAGACACTGAGAAATCTACAATTACAAAAGAATTGTAAGGCTTCCCTTCCTTCTGTTAAGACAGCACAGAAAAAACAAGAATTGTTTCAAGGCTGTTTGACAGCCTACAAATAGAGAACTTGATTTGTAAGGAGAGTATGAGGAACTCACCATGTTAGGGAAAGTGAGAAAGTAGTCCTGAGCTTACATTGCAGAAACAAGCAGATTGCCACCTGCTTGTATAGAACCTTTCCTTAGACCATAGTAATCACCTTTGGTAGTTTTTTTTAATTTTTTAGATTTTTCTCTTCCAGTATTCATAGTTTATAAATCAGAAAGCACTGTTTCACAACTTGCCTAAGCATCAAAGCTCCACTGTCTGTAAAACTGCAATCTGATCTAATTTTCAAGCTACCCTTTCTTTTCAAAAGAAGGTTGGATTAGTTACCTCCACTGGTTCTCCTCCAACCTAAATTTTTCATTCTCAAAAAACAGGAGTTACATACAAAGCAGACGATCTGGAGTATGCAATTACAAAACACTTGCATTGCTAGGACCACACATAGGTATGAACTAGTTCAAAGCTTCCTCCAACTTTAACAGGAAAAAAATCAATTATCACTAGTTCACTGTTTAGGAGATAGTAAGAAAAAAGAAGTCTTTTCAGTGAATATTATATAAATTTCATGCTTTTCCATAAACTTCATATTACATACATTTCCTTTCTTCATTGTGTTTATTTTACCTGATGTGTTGTTTTAGATGACAAGATTTTTTATAGGCTCGATGGCAATAAAAACACTTGTATGGTCTCTCTGCATTATTCACAAAATTACTGTTAAAATAATTTTGGAAGACCTGGCTATTCCTTGGGATTGGCTGGATAAGACCTGCAAACACACACGCACAAAAAAAGGAAAAATTAATTGGTAAAGTTATTCCAAAGCTGCAGTAGTCTGAAGAGCTAGCATTTGCAAAGAAAGAACGACTAAACTTTTAGTATACAAAAATATAAAGACAATGTGCATGTCTCCAGCACTTACTTAAAATTATGCATACACCTATTTACCATTATATATACTATACTGCACATGCTATTTTAGTGATAGTTATTCTTTTATCGAGAGGTCCACCTCATTACAGTAAGTGTCCATGTCCAAAATAAGCATTAACTTTAAAAAAAGTGGACAGATATGAATTTACTGCTGATCCAATAATATCTTCTTCTTCCAGCCTTTACCTTAACCAAGTAATATTTACATACCACAACTATAATATGCATTTTATGGAAAGTATAAAACATCATGATTACCTGACCTTACTTACACGATAAAAGCAGTCCATTAAAAATTATTGTATTTATACATCTACTCTGGCTAATCAGTCAATCTTGCTAATTCTCTGAGTGCCTCCAAAAATATATTGCAAAAAAAACAATCCCAAAACCTCAAACCAATGTTTTTAAACAAATGCTTTTTACACACTGGTCCCTGAAATCAGTCAGGTGTCATTTTGGAAATTCAGTTAGAAGTTCCCACTACTAAATATCCAGGTTGAGAGAGCTGCAGAAGAGAGTTTCAGGGAGACTTTATAGCAGCCTTTAGTACCTAAAGAGGGCTGGACAAGAGAGAAGGGTAGGGACTTGCTTTAAAGGGCATGTAGTGATATGACAAGGGGTAAAGACTAAGCTGAAGGATAATTAGCAGTAGTATACAGGAGATGACACAAGTCTTACAAATCAAAAGAGAAGAAACACTATATGACAAATATTTAATCTAAAATTTATTTTTGATCTTACAAGATTGGAATAATTCAATTAACTCTTTGAATGAACAACAGCTGACTAACTTAAAAGCATATCCCAAGTTACAATGGTTCTGGTCTGCAGAAATTTCTAATAAGATACATAATAAACCAGAAATAACTATATAATATAAATAACTGATTCTTAATAAAACACTCCCAAACTATTTACTTAAGCTGTTCAACTCAGATAAATGAAACATTTCTCTGAACTGTTAGAATAGTTAAAGTTGGTGCTACTCTGGACACAGCATGTTAGCCAAATAAATCTAAATGGGAACGTTCCATAAAAAAGTACATTTCCTCCCATTAGTTCCATCTTTGGAATTGCAGTAAATCCTACTGTGTGATTGGAGTGTCTGACGCAGTCAGCTAAGTTTTGCTTCCACCCCAAAAATTTAAATTTCTTATACCTGACACCAAAATATGAACATGTTACAAAGAATCCAAGTCATGAACTGTCTGTCATCTTTTCTATACCAATAGCCTAATAATAGTTTAATTAAATCCTCTCCTAATGTAAAAATGCATTTTTTCTTCTCCAGGAAGGATTACACAATTTCATTGTAAACAAAAAATATTCTTATTCATTTTAGTGCAAGAAAATTATAAAATATTGCACTTTTCTGAAGCCTGTTTCTGATTACTTATTATTTCAAAGTGCACCTTTATGAGTAAGCTCTGAATGTTTGCTTGATTGAACTGTGACCTTTATATTCCAGTGAAATCTTAATTTCAAGAGAGTACAGACTGAATTGCTCTTTACCTAAATCAGTTATGAGTATGGGTTCTTGCAAAGGAATGTCTGGTACTGGACCACTCGACTTTCCTACTCGAACTTTCGCAGGTTTACGTTGATGTCGCAGCTTTCTTAGTTCAGTATGTTTAAAATGTGAAGTGATATGAGTTTTCCGATGGCCCGATGTTCTAAACTTTTTGTCACAATGAGGACAAGCAAAAGGTCTAACACCTGCAAAAGGGTAAAAAGAATTAGTCTGGGATTTTATTTCCATCAACCTAGAAATGCAGCTTTAGAATACTGATTCTCTTTTCTGTATTTGCTTTTTTGTTTTCTATCACAGGGTCTATTCTTAAATAGGTTTTCAAAACAGATTGTTAAACCCCAATCAAAATTCTCTGAAAATGTCAACACTGTTTGAAGGCAGTCAAAAAAGCATGCCATCCAGAATTATTACAGAAAGACTTTTGTAATGCAAAATCCAGTAGAAATCTCTCCTTGAAAAGGATACTGCAGAACTTAAGTTACAGAGACAGGCAAGGCTGAAGAACTCTCAGCTTCTGTTCAAGGGGAAATCTTGTGACTTAAAAAGGCTAGGAAATATGACTGCATAGTATAAAGCAAGCTCGATAAAATCACAGGTGGAAAAAATGTACAAAAACGTGCTTCACAATACAGTAACTAGTACATCATATGAAACCGCAGAACAGTTCCATAAACAATGGACTACCTATTTTCCAAGCCACATAGTGCTTCTGCCACTTTGAATGAGTCTGAGTTCTTCTATAAAGAAGGCTAACTTTAAACAAGAAGTTTAAACCTGTTGGTTTGCAGATTTACAAAAAAAAACAAGTGAAAAATGTTCTGCAGATGAATTGAACATTGATATTTCGGATCAAATGCATCAAACTATAAAAAACATTGAACACCAAATGCACCTTGTCAATGAATGACACTTTTGCAGAAGGTAATTACATAAACAGAAAGGAAAGAGCAGCGCATTTATGAGCTTATCTTGCTGAAACATTATTCAGCTGTATGAACAAAGAAAGAAAAGTAGAAAACAACCAGGTAGTCCACCAAATGCAGAAAACTCGTTTTTCTCTATGGAGAGAATAGTTCAGCCACAGAAAAACAGATATTGAGGACATCATGTACGATGGAAACAAGGACCACATGAACAGAGGAATTCTAGGATATGCAGTGTAAGATAGTGAAAAAAGGTAAGTTGGTGAAAACATCAAGCAACACGTTAATGTTGAAGATAAAAAGGGAAGTAACCAAAGAGTCCTGAGTAATGTAGTGAAATTATAAAAAAGTGTAGAGAAGGGGAGGGAAGATGCAGAGTAAATATGAAAAACGATGACTCTTTAAAAAGCACAATTAAATACATTCACAATAGTGATATTAAAAAGGAACAACAGTTGACTTATCATCAGAAAATCAAATGCCCATAGCTTTTGCAAGAGCCCAAAGTCTCAAAGAAATGAAACACTAGAAAGGTATGACAAAAAATTACTCATCATCTAAGACACTAAAAATTATACATTCTCTGACAGATAACAATGACATGCTAGACATGGCTATAACTTATACATTTCACTTTGTCTTTTTTCATTCAAGGTCTCACCCACATCATAGAAAATAAGTGAAGCAACTTTGAAGCCTTACCTGTATGGAGACGAATGTGAACTTTTAAACTCCCTGAGGTGGAAAAGCTTTTCATACAAAATTGGCACTTGAAAGCTTTGATGCCAGTGTGTGTTTTTATGTGTGCTGTTAGAGTACTCTTAACTGCAAAGGCGCGGAAACACTGGGGACACTTGAATGGCTTCTCGTGGGTATGAATGCGAATGTGGCGCACTAGATCACTTGGTTTTTTAAATTCTTTAGAGCAATATGGACAAACGTGCCACCTTATTCCATTTTCTTCACGTATAGAACCTAAAATAAGGAATATCAAAATGAATGCTCTTCAAACCTTTCAAAAATTCTTCAAAAATCCCACTACACTTACACCATTATACAAAGCAATCAAGTCACAAAAACTTTTTGTGAAATAGATGCCATCACAACACAGTTTGTACATGACCAACTTCTCTATCAGATACATTCTACTTCACAAAAATGGTGATTGGCTGGAATGACAAAAGCCAAGATATTCCGCTTGAAATTCAAACAGTGAAGTATCTATGCCACCTAAAAATGTAGAATGTAGTTGCAATGCAATATAATATACCAGCTAATTTATAAATACCATATGTAATGAAATTATACAACAATAACTAAGTCCTCAACTGTAATCACATCACATTATTTTAAGTACTAAGCACTTATCTAACTGGAGGAGATAATTTGCACAACCCTCTCTTATGCAAAGTTAAACTTAAATTACATTTTGCAAAGTTCTAAAGGAACAAAAATTGCACCATAAGTCCTTCTGATACATTTACAATTTAAGGCTGGTTTGTGGGGTTTTTTTCCACAAAAGCTGTTTTATGATCCAAGTACCCTAAGTTCTGTCCTAAGGCAACAGGATGTTTTTTCACAACAAAAAACCCAAACAAACAAACAAAAAAACCCTTCTAAATCCTATCAAGCATTTTTTATTTATAGATGTTGTTCAATATCAGATATGTTCTCTTTTAAACCTGTTGACATAGTGGGTTTTTCCTGTAAACCATGTCAATACACTGAGGTCATATTACTTTATCAAAGAACAAAGGTTTTGACCTGTCAAAGTCTGACTATACAGCAATGCCTTTTTTATCTGCAGTCAGAGCTAGAGAGTTGTTAAGATTATACACAAGCAACAAAATACTTATTACCAGAGGAAAATGTTAATATTGATTTTTACCACAGTTATGCTGAACAAGCTGAGTTTTTGACTCTGGATCAATCTGTCCACCCTTGCAAAAGAAAAAGCAACATCAATGTATCTATGAAGATACTAAAACCAGAGCTCAATGGCTTCTTGTAGTGCTGTCTCTACCAGGCAAGCCAACAAAGTATGATGGGTTTACTTGGAACAAACTTCAAGCAGACACAAAGCTTGAGCAACCTTGAAAATGAAGTTGCATTTAAGCACACACAGACAAAACCCAGGCTTGCATATACACAACACAGTTGGGAAGCAGAATATCAACACATATTTATGGTGACAATATCACATCAGTACTGTTATTCCAGGGACAGGTGACATGAAGTACTATCCACTGCCAACCTTTATCCTTGCCTACATGGGAAGATCAGTGAAGATCTGCATGAGGCAGCAGTACTGAACTTATGCCTCTGAGGGGCCTCACTTCTGAAGAGGAAGAACAGAGCTTGCAAGAACTCTGTTCAGAGACACACAATCAAAACCCAATCCTTCCCAGTGAAGGATGACGGGAAAAGAGAGGAAAAAAAGATTCATATACTTTCCTTTTTGTCCTCTTTCTGTAACACCACCGATCTAAATCCAAAAGATTTAGCAGTGTCATTTCACTTAATGCCATTCTGACACGGTTTTGTATAATGAGCTACAGATACTATTGTTCATATCTTACACTGTGATTGAGATAAGAGCAAATCAAGTTCACCACTGATCCACAATACATTTTGGGGAATCTCTTTATAAAGCCATAAACATAAATAGTACAGTCTTTACAGCACAAGAAGTAGAAAGCAGTAGCAACATTACCAGGCAAAAACGGTGATTTTTTCTTAATAAACTTTTTTTCTTTTTTATCTAGTTTATCTGTAGTGTCTTGCTCCTTATCTTGTTCTGCATTATTAGAATCAGTCTGATGATTTGAGAGAGTTGGGACATCTGGGTTCTGATCCTGGGGCCCAGAAGTCTTAGCCTGGCTGCAGTCAGTAGAATGTGCAGAGACAGGAATTGAAGACAACCCACTGTTCTCTAACGCTTGCTAAAAAAAGAACAAAAAAACCTTCTAGATTAAGAAAGAAACATTCCACAGTTACCCCAACTTTTCTGAAACAACTACTTGGAAGATATAATGCAAATACAATTAAAGGAAATAAAAGTCTCATTCTCAAAGAATTTCAGGTAGATTTCAAACCTACAAACACAATATTACACAACACTGACTTATGATTGTAAGATTTTAAGTTGCATTTCCTGCACTTATTCATTTGCTGACAGCTGCCTTTTAGGAAACAACATTTTTTTTTAAATAGCTATCAGGATAATAGTTATGTATCATATATTTCTGCAACTACACATCACATTCCAGACATTACAGAACTCAGCACAGGTAACAGCAGTGAACCTGCACACAGCTAAATGTAATATGTGGGTCTTCCAAAAAGAAATTTAAATGGTACTTAAAAGGGTAGAGCTAAAAAGATAGCTTCAAGGTTAGCAGGCTACAACTAATACTAAAGAATATTATTCTCTGCCCTGTTCCATTCTGTTTGTGCCTTTATGTGGTGCAGGCTTTAGAATGAGCACATATAGCTGATTCACCACCCTGCCTCTCTTCTGTTACACATTGTCTCCTACTGCCAGATATATCAAGGACAGAGTCTAATAGTTTAAGAAAATACTGGTTGACCTTGGAAAAAAATTTCTTGCACAAATAGGAAATATTCAAATAGCCCTTATTAAACAGAACAGGGTAAAAGCCATGTATACATTCTCATTTTTTAGCCAGATAAAAATAATTTTCCCTTCTTAAATGTCACCAGTATTTAAGCATGGCATAACCAAGGACAAGCCACAAGCTGCTTCCAGGCAACAGAAAAACAAAAAGCTAGAGTGATCAATAAAAATAGTAATGTATGGGTGTGTACACTAAAGTTTTCTTCTAGGCCATATAATCAATATCTATAACCTTTCTTTTGTATTATTATACAAAAGATACCTTGGTGCATTCCATACCCATTCAATAGATCCTTAAACCTTTTTCTTTACTGATAAATGATTTAAAAATGTGTAAGGAATGTTATAACTGAAAATACTGAGAATTAATTTCACTACAATATGAGAAAGAAACCACTGAAATGCAAAGTTGTTCTCACACTGAGCTCTTACCTGCAAAATATCTCTACTGATTCCCACCGCAATGTTGAGCTGTTGACCAGGTTGTTGAGGTTGGTTATTTTCTACAGGACCTGGTTCTGATAACTCAAGGAGTTGCTGAATGACATCGGTGACAGCCTGCTGACCCTGGTGAGCAGCAGCTGGAGACACTTGGTTTTCTGTCTGTTGAAGAAGTGGAGACCGAAAATGTGTGGCCTGAAATATACAGCAGTATATTTGTAAAGGAAGATGAAAAGCATATATTATGAACTCACCCGTCCAGGTCCCTTATCTGAAATGTCTGTTAACTGTCCACTACAAAGATGTCTATTTTTATATGACATAAGGATTACACAGAGCTGTCATTCAAGGTTTGCTCACTCCACTAAAGAATTGCTTCTGTATATTCCTTTTTTGAAGTCCTTATCAACCTTGAAATTGTAAGCTCACAGCTTGAATTAAATTTATTAAACTACTGAACCTTCAACCAGTTTACAAAACACAGGGATCAACTACAGAATACCACATGAAAAGTAATTCCAAAACAAATAAACAGCATTGAGGTGGTTATCTTTTCAAAGTTCACATTTATTTCAAGCAGGTCCTTTGGAAAAAATAACCTTCTATTAGTTGGGATTTTTTTAATATGAAATTATTTGTGTTGTTACATCAAAACCTTCAAGACCAAACTACCAACTTTTCCCCTTCAACCTTCAAAACCTCTTAGCTTTAGAAGAATCTCCTTATACTCTGAACATTTAAATAGGCTTTAGGCTCTGTAAAAATACTACAAAAACTTGAGGTTTAAAAATGTAATTTCTTAATATTTGACTTGACAATTGTATCTTAGGCTACCTTAGCAAAAAATATGAAGAAAAAAAAGTGATATAAAGCCTTGCTATCTATTTTTTAAATCGGCAATAAAGACTCCTTTTCGCCTTTATTTATAAACTTCTCTTCCTGATCTGTCTGATCTTCTTGTAACACAGACCATGTAACTGCTCTGAGTGAATTACTCCTTCAAATAAAGTAACTGCACAAAAATTAGAGCTGTTCTTTAGATCAAGTAGTTTATCGTGATAACTTTTTCTGTTACTATTCAACTTCAATATGTGGCTCCATTATTACATTATCCACACTAAAATTCCATACTTTATTTCAAAGTGTCAATTTATCTAGCCTCAACCCTCAAAATTATTTTCTCTTCTCTATTAATGAGATTATAGATTTTTCCCTCTTTTTCAAAACATATGATCAAGTCACCCTTAAGTATTTTATCTGTTGGGCAGGGCAGCTAACATACCTTGAATCTCTTCAATAACAAAACACATCATAGCATATTTTAAGAATTTTGATGGTTCTGATTTCTCCTGTATTATTGAAGACAGTTCATGAATAGTGAGCAATATAAACAAACAAGTGAAACCAGCATAAACTGCATAAGGAAATACCGAGAATAGACAATATTGGATCTGGATAGGCCAGACAGACATGCAGAGGCCAGTTGTATGAGATTCAACAAGACCAAGTGCCGGGTCCTGCACTTGGGTCTCAAGAACCCCATGTACTGCCAAAGGCTGCAAACAGAGTGATTGGAGAGATGCCTGGCAATTTCAGGCAATTCTGGGAGGAGGTGGCAATGGGATCTATTGCTCCCAACTCATACCTCTCACTAGGAAAAAACCTGGCACACTCTATCAAGTACAGGGAACCAGAGATTATAACACCTTGACACAAGGGCCTAATTCCCATGTTTGGATTCAATTAAAAAAAAGACAAACCCCATCCTCTTTACTCCTAAGAGAAAGAGACGTGATCAGTTCTTCCCTGGAACTTGATTTGCTGTAGAACTTTCGAATATAAACCACTCTACACAAAGCAAAATCGATTTTTGGGGGGGAAGGGGGGGGGCATCCGGAGAAAGGTAGGAGACTATGCAAGGCTTGAACTTCAATTTCAACTGATTAAAAAATAAAAAAAATTACTTAAACTTTTGAAGAACAACCATTTTCAATATTTTTAAAATCTCACAAGGAAATAGTATAAATATTTAATACAACAAATATTTGTAACCAATTAGTTCACATCAGTTTTGTCCAGCCATAAGTTAAATGATCCTGGAATAAAGAATTTACATCAATAGATAAAAAGAAAGTGGGTGGACTGTTTATAATGACTTTAAAGCAGTAATGCCACATTTCCTAGTCCTTGGTTTCATGGATTCTAGTACATCACAAGATAATCAGTAGCTGAACTGGGGAAAGGGAGACTGTAAGTCAGATGTCTGCCACTAAGATACCACGCTGCAATCAACAGGTGACAAACAAGATGCTATATAGCTGCAGAAAAACTGGCCAGCATACTCAGTGGAACTGGCACATACAGACCTGTCTGTACATCACAGCTGTTTGCTATGGGGTTCCAGAAAGTCAGCCCTGCATCCCCCCTTCCCCTCCTTCCCCAGGTCCACAGTTCATCCTGAACCCCATGGTTCCAGTGCTGCCCAAATTCCAAACAGCTCAACCATTATGAACACATCTCCTTTCCTCTAACCCAAACCATGGTATCCATGCAAAGTAAAGGCAGAGGGGCAGGACAATCCAGTATTTTTAAGAGTCCTTACTCTACTCTGGTCCTTTTATACAGAAGAGTGTTTGGCTCTATTTTGAAGACCTATTGAACAGAATTATATGCAAAATCATGATTGTGTAAAGAAATGAGGGAATATAATCCATTCAAGACCTGTTCTGTCTCTACATAACCAGCTGCATTCACTAAGGAGCTTCTCTTCCCATATTAGCTGGTAAATGTATCACAGAGGATCACTGCATATCATTTTTCACCAGTTAAATGAAAATTTATAAAATTCTGTAAAGTTTCTCCCACTTCTAGTTTTGACACACAAACGGGACAAAAACTTCACACTTACATTCTTCCATTTGTTATCAACAGGTTGCAAAAGATTAGCAGGGGATGTTGTTAAAGGTTGGGTGACAGGGTCCTACAAAGAAATGAAAATAAAGTATTTTAAACCTTCGTCAAATAGAAAAAAACATGGCTAATATAATGCAGAAAAGTAGTATAGCTCATTTTCCCACAAAAATGAGACTATGCGAAAGAAACAAAAGTACATAAAAACACCATCACTGCTTCATAGTTTATATACATGAAATAAACACAAGAAACAAACACCTTAGCTGTAAGTACTGATCCAGCAAAAGACAAATAACAGCCTTACAGTAGCCATAATTTATAAGATGTACTCATGTAGCACACAAGAGTGCATTCTTTGGTAGCACAGCACTTCAGGAAACTTCAGCTTTTGGAATGTGTACTTAATAAGGACAAAATCACTGCTTATCCCCAGGTACGCAAAAAGGGATGGCAGAGCCTATCCCAAACTTCAGAATAGAATTATTATACTGGAGATTTGTTGTTAAAGCAGCTCTGCAAGTTTTGGGCAGAATGAAGGCCAGCTCTAATTGAAGAATGCTAGCATTAACCTAATAATGTACCAATTTTCTAAAGCAATAAAAAAATACAAATAATTAAGTATCTGCAGTTTCAGATTAAAAGGTGCAAATAAAAAGCGTAATGCTAATATGCAACTGCCACATCATTATCTCTGCTCTTCCTTGTTAAACTTCTTGACATCTCTTTTTAGAGAGAGTCTTTTTCTCCCTTCTCTCTCTTTGCTTATACTACTGTATAGAGGCATATTTGCTGTACTCTTCCGTGGAAGCAGAGAGGTATGCATGCAGCAAAGATAATAACACGCTGCTGTAATATCAATATGCTAGGCAAATGCATAATATTTAAGCAAAGCAAAACAATAAGAACAGAGCTGGCCGAGGAAAACAAAAATGAGGTACTATGAAGGAATTCTTTTCCATCGTGCTTTTAAGATTAGGCTTGTGAATATAGAAATGCACAAAAAGATGATATATGTACTTGCAAGCAAATAGGTCACATTAACCTTTTTTTATCAATTAACATGAAGAAAGAAATTGCATCTAAAAAAACGGTTCTCCAAACAGCATTACTCGACCATTGTTTTCAACAAGATACAGCTGCATAATGAAGCTGAGACTTCAAATATTAACCCTCCTCTTCAAGGACTAATCTTGTTTGCCATCTATTAAACACTAAAGTTGGAAATTGAGCAAAACAGAGCAGAATAAAGGTAGAAAAGGTAGTTTTATTCAAAGAAAAAAACAGTATTATGATAAATAAAATATGCACTCTCTCAAAAAATGGAATAGTCTTCTAAAATCAGAAGCATTTTCTGAATTTTAGTTGTATCTGGGTAAAGAGAGAAAAACATTCAGTATTTCCAATAAAGCTATGGTTTTCCTTTATAATCCGTCAAGTAAGAAGCTAATATTTAAAACAAATTAGTGGAAATACACAGAAGGATCCACTATGTGTTTATATGGAGTAGATTTATATAAACAATTTCTGAAAATAAGTGGCAACTAATATGTTACTTCAATAGTTCTAAATTTCATTGTTACACTTAAACTTTCCCATTATTTTTATATTATCTGAGAGGCTAACATAATCTCTAAGGACCAGAATTATATTTTACTTAGTTGTAGGATTGAACTGTTGCATTTTCAACCAAAACCTCAAATTGTAAATCCATTTTTTGCATATACTTCACCAATTTACATACTCCCAATATTTAACCCTGCAAATTAATACCAGAAATCACACAAAACATGAAAAGGACAAAAGAAGCTACAGGTCTAGAAGTTCTAACTTATTCAAAGAACTACTGGAATTAAGATATAGAGCTAATTAAACTCTCAAAGGCATTTTCACAATATACCAAGCAAAACTTACTGCTGTAACATGAGATACATCTGCTGAAGCACTTGCAGAATTCTGTGGACCACCCATGTGCATCTTGCTGATATGTGTATTTAAACTACCTAAGCTTTTGAAGACACAGCTACATTCTGTACAGTTGTATGTAGGGCCATTCTTCACCTTGAAGAAAAAAAAAAAAAAGAACACAAAAAATTTAAGTAAATTTTCCCTACATTTACCAAAGATATGTTCCCTTATTTATCCATACAATAAATATACTGTGAACTTACGAGAGTAAAATGGTTTATTTTTTCAAGTTACTGATAACCAGTTATGAAATCAGTCTGGTATATCTTGGATATCAAATCAACTGTAATCTACGTGCATGACTGTAATTGCCTATTACCACTTCTCAACATTGGGAAGCACGAGACAGCACAACAAATGTCAAGTGGCAAATGAGGCTGCAGACTCTTCCCTCTTTACAATTTCCTACTGTCCCACACTTAGAAGAAGAACGGAAAAGCAACTTCATCAATTAAGATGTGACTGCAGATGAAACATCGTACATAACACAAATAGCAGTTTTAAGTACAAAGAGAAAAAAAATGCAGACAAAAACATCACAGTGATTCTATTCTGCACCCAGGAAAAAAAAAAGAGCAAAAAAATGCTGCCTCTATTACTTCATTCCTTACAAATCAAAACTAGGTCTCTATCTATGGGTATTTCCAACCAAAAATCACTAAAGTCAGTAAGGAAATTGCTGAACAAAGTTGCACAGCCCATATTGCTCAGATGATTGTATTACTTTATCACAGCAGTATCTTTTGAATCTAAGAACCTGTCTATCAAAGAGAAGAAAAACAAGACGTGTAAAGAGATCTGAGACCACAACTTTTTACATCTTATTCTGGAATTTTCTTCTACCTGTAACCAAAAAACTTCTGAAAAAGGCTGTAAGACACATACTTCAAAGACAAGCGGCAAGTAAGCTCTACAGTGGAGTTAATGGGTTTGGCCTTGAAATTTTTCACCGTTTTCTGCTTTGATGCTTTTGGTTTACTTTCATCTGCATCCAGTCCTCATTCTCCCAGGACAGACATAGGTATGTTTTTATACACCTAAACCCACTACTTACTAATCTATTTATGTACTGAAAAGACAAGGGCCAGTGAAGGTTTTGCTACTTCTCCTAAGTACACATTTATTCAGATCAAGCTATTTCAGGAAAGCTTGCTGGTCAAACCAACAAACTACAATTTATTCCATAGCAGTAAATCTGTACTGGCTGCAAAGAGCACTGGAGCACATAGGAACAGCAACAATTGAACAAGACATGACAGCACCAAGGACTCAAATAGTTAATTGTATTTACCTCTGAATGAACTCTCTGTATGTGCGACTGCAGGTTGCCTTTCTGGGAAAAGGCTGCGGGACAAAAGGCACAGGCATGGGGTTTCTCCCCTGTGTGCTTGATCATGTGAGTCTGCAGCGCTCCCTTCTGGTTAAAGGCTTTTCCACACTCACTGCACTTGAATGGTCTTTCACCTGCAAGGAAAATGGAAGATGAGGAAGAGGAAGGTAAGGAGCTTCAAAGAAGCCTTAGCAGTTTCCTGTATTTAAACAAAAAACTGTAGCAGCTAAAATATAACATTGCCTAGGGACATCCTTACATACGCACAAACACATTTTATTACAGGGTTTTGAAGAAAAATTGTTTACCTTAACCATCAGCCTCAGCACCTACTCTGATGACAACGTAGCCTTCTGAAAAAGTTTTGTGACCTAGCTGATGATTATTAGGTAAAATGGCTAAAATGATGAAAATCTATATGAAGTAATTATTTAAAATGGATTCTCTCAACTTTTGCTTTGATCTCAGAAGCTGTTATGCAAAATCACCAGAGAAAAAAAATAAAGGGGGGGGAAAGAAAAGAAAAAAACAAACCCACATACATCACTCCTATAAGACTTGTACACCAAGTCCTATGGAATGCATATATCTGCACTGAAACAGAGGACCAGAGGGTAAATGGACAGTAATAAATAAGTAAGAGTCAAAAATTTAACCTTTTATTTAGTTTAAAAATCAAAAGGTCTTACAGTAACACTGCAGAAGATGGTCTATGGTTCCCACTCCACAATAAATATTAACAGCATTTACTCTTTACAATCATCTACTGAAAATATGCAATAAAATATTATATGAGATATAATATGATCGTGCTCAGAAAACAATTTTAAGACTCTGAATGTTCATATTGCTATTGAACATTAAAGAAAAACTCGGCAATATTGGTACAGGAGTGCTCTGCAATGATTTCCCAGTTTTGGTGATCTCAGTGCTGCTCATTCTTCCAGTTATTTGAACATTCACAGATTAGGCATGAAAAACTCCACAGAAATTATAGGGTGACAGAACATAAAAGAACTGCGTAAACAGATTATAAAACTACACATTTTAAACACACACATACTAAGAATAAATTTCAGTTTCTTACAAATGTGTCTCAACTGACTACTGGGAACTTCCACTATGAACTCAATACTGACCTTTTTTCCTTTTAACGAAATAGTTTAGTTGAGGTAACTTGAGGACATTGAAAACATTGCCTTTGCAAATTTCTTTAGCAAAAACTTTATGAGCATTCTGTACATTATGTCTGCTAAATCAGTAAGTACAACTATGCACTAAAGACTATGCACATTAAAGCAGTTTTAATGAATATTTTTATATGACTTCTAATTATATAGCTGTAATTACATCTACTTTACACTTATTAATTCTTAATTAAATTCATATCGTCTGGAATAAAAGCAGCTATTTTTTGAAACAGATTACAAGCATTTAACTCACTAAAGAAATGTATATGTTCTGTTCTGCTGCTTATTGGTTTTGAAGATGCTTAAAGATCTGCAGGTTTTAACTGTTTATTTTTGAAGATAAATAACATTGATTCACATCTTGAAACACAATGACAAAATTCCTACTGGGCTTTCATAGGTAAAAGGCTTAGCTTTCTCTAAGAGCTGGTGGACACAGAAAAGTATTGCTTCAGGTTAAGTGTGCCTATTTAAGTAAATCTCATTATAGAAAGTAAATTTCAATTCTACTGTGGAAATGTGGAATTTCTGTACTCCTCAAGTATAACTTAATAAAACACAGATTGAGAGGGGGAATGAGGGGCTCATTACTTAGTTATTAGTATGGGAATTGCAGTCTCTGAGACCTAATTTTTTTTCCCAAAAGGGTGTAAGTGCTTGAAATGACTAGTTACGAACAGAAAATAGTATTGCAAATTAAGACACTAATGTAATGCTGCACACGTAGCACAGACAGGCTCTTTCAACAATTAAAGACTTGGGGATTCTAAATTCTTCACAGTCCTCTCCTACATAGTTACAGTACCTCAAGCAACTGAATACCAGACAGATTGTCTGCAGGTTTAGAGGAATAACGTAATTCACAACTTAAATGAGTATTTGCTGCCTACTTGGAACTTAAAATTCTCTACTGTCATGTGCAGATTGGGACTGCATTTTCTGTCTCTGACTTCCCAGCAGACAAATATCTTTTTATTCTTTAAGTATTCATAAATGCCCTTGAACTTTTGAAGCTTTAAAATAAGCATCTTTAACCAACTATAATCTTGTTTCTTCAATTTTGGCTAGACTAAGCTAAAAAAATGTATCAAACACAGTCAAGACTCTAAAACACAACTTAGTTTTCGCTGACCTTTTTTTTGGATATTTGTTTGAAGCATTTTTTTAAAGCAGGTACAAGGGTGACCTCTTGTGTTACTGTTCTATAACTGGATCTGTTGAACTTAAAAAGATTCTTAACAAAGAGTCATGCAACGGTATTTTTATTTCTCCCTTGGTAAACAAAGCCATTCTTGTAAACAGCAACTCATCACATCTCTGCCTGAACAGACTGCTAATATAAACAATATTGCAGACTTACATAACTGCATACCTGAACTAGCTGAAAACTAGACAAGCAATTTATTCAATATATATGAAAAATACATATATATTGCATAGCATTGAAACACCTCCAACAAAGGTTTGTTTAAAGCCAAACTCCTGCTATAGCACGTACAGCTGGTTGAAACTTAAGAACTATTTTCTTAGTCATCTGTAAACTTCAAAAACTTTTATGCTTTGCATTTTTCAATTATTTCAACTGCTTAAGGGTTAAGTGTGCACATATTTATGACAGCAATTTAGCAAAAAACCATTTGCTATTCATTCTGCAAATCTGAACAGTCACCTGCACTTTTTCAATTACCAAAATTACAATCAAGGCTTATCACATCCCAAGATCATTTTGCAATTTCAAATAAATCAATTTAAAAACAAATGCAAGGCCACTATTTTAGTAGTATTATTAATTCTTATGTACTTTTACTCTTTTTTGGGATAGTAAATTTTAGAACCTGCTCTCTGGAGTATGTAAGATCTTAAGAGTAGCTGACTTGCCCTTGCCTAGAGATTCTAATTTTAGGTCCCACTGAAACTGCAAGTACCAAAACTGATATTTGGTAAAAAAGGAAACCTATAGAGTACTTTATTTTTTTTATTTTAATTTTTAATTGCGATTATATGAATCCAGAAATTTTAAAAACATATACATTTGCTAAGCAAAGGAATTACATACAGTTTATTTTAACCCAACAGCTAAAAGCATCTAATGAGTGAAATGTATTGATAGTATTTCAAGTCCCAACAGGGAGAAAAAGAATAAATTTCACAAGTTGACTGAATTTTGTAAAACAAATGCAAATAAAAATAATTACTTCCACAGCAGTACCTGTGTGTATTCTAACATGTCGCGTTAACTGACTCGGTTTCTGGAACGTCTTTCCACAGTGAGGACAGGAATAGGTAAACCCACTTCTGTCAATGTTTCTGTTGTAGGATCTGGTATTTGATACCCTGTCATTTAAAAAAAAAAAATATTTTTAATATGGAGCATTATGTTAACGATTTTATTTTATCCCATAGATTTTAGCATAATATAAAGTTGATAACATACAGTATCAGTTGCAACACTGAAAAACCAAAGTCTATAATGATTCTAAAAGAACAATGCAATCAGCTCTTTACTAAGTACCTACACGCACCAAGAATTTTAGTTATTTCTGTAATACAAATGGATATATCCTAGAGGCTCTCTAGAGACATTTTCAGGGTAAATTCTGACAGAAGTATACAGTCACTTCACAAATATTATTTTCATGGGAACTTTCAGCTCTGTGCAACTCTGTTTCTTTTCCTGAACACAGCAAGTCCTTTATTCTTAACTAGAATACGAAAATCATGAATTTGAGTGTCAATGCACTTGCTGAAGTCTATTAAGAGCAAGCTAAGAATTTAACAACCCAAATATTTACCCTGCCCCTCAAATACAAATCACACTCTCCACACAACCATAGTAACAGATGATATAAATTCCCCAAATTCATTTCTCTACAAATCAAACTAACTAGTTTAAATGACTGGTGAGAAACATCAACACCAATGTGGAAAACTGACTGGGAAAAAAAAAAAAAAGAACTCCCCCCGATTTTGCAGACCACCAGAACAACTCAATAAAACAAGCAGAAGCCAGAAGGCAGTGGGCAAACCAGTATAGTATTGAGAGCATTGCATTATCTTCCATACTGCCAGTGTAACAACACCTATACATTAATCCAGCTTCTCAGCACTGCTTAATTCTAACTGATATCAAACAATTTTAAATACCTGGTGTTTCTATGAACAACTAAAAGAATTAGCTAATGTGGAGCAAAAGTGCAAAGCACACCACCACATTGAAAGACAACTTGTATAACAGAAGAAAACAGCAGGGAAGTAATAGTCTGTGCATAACACAAGAAATCATAAACTTACCAAATGCTGCATCTTTCCACTCTAGGAGAACATAGATATTCAGTGTATATTTAAAGGAAAGCACACTTTCCTTCCTAATTACTTTAAAAAAATTACATGTATTTTTAAAGTCCTTTTATAACCTTACAGAATAAGCACAGTGAGGGTAATATATTTTAATTTTACACATTAATTATATCTACTAAAATTTAATGAAGTATCCAGAATAAGTCAACTGAAAACTGAAAAGGAGAAAGAACAGCACAGATGTTACAACCTCTTCTTTTCACCTCAGGACAGATCTAGACCAGCCTGATTGTCAGAATACACTCTTTGATTAGCAACGTGCCTTAACTCTATCTGCAGCACTTCAAGAACAAAAATAATATCTGATTTGTTGGCAGTTGTAGGGACAATTGTTAAAGATCACCTAATTTAGATCACCTTCTAAATTACTTCACCATTTAGAATGATCATTTTCTTTTCATCAAAAGCTAGATACCGTATTTAAATTAGTATTAAATTTAAATTTAAAAACTTCATGATAGTCTTCTATACAAATGATTTACCTTTTTGGCAACGAAAGTGCATCCACTCTATGAAAAAAGCTTAAGGGAACAAAGCACATCATAATTTAAATCCTAAAAAATCTCTTATGCTTATTTTACACTGAAAAACAGTAGTGAAATTGATGTATGTCTTTGAAGTTTAAATACTCTCTACATTACTGAGTTAGACCAAATATTAACTTTCCATAATTCAATAATTAATCTTTTCATATGCAACAATAAAATCTGAATTTCCACATTTTTCCTTTCAAAATAATTTCCGATGAAACACAGCTCTGAGCAACATTAGCTTTGTGATGAACTGGAGCGGGAACACTGCATCGAGTCATTAACCCTGCTCATATACATGGGTTGTATTGGTACTGCTGGTTAAAGGACAGCACAGCACCAGTACAGACTGTAGCTTATTGAACACAACTGCAACATGTCTCTACATCTGAACTGATAAATAAGGTGAATGTCTTACAAGAAAGTTCTGAATCCAGAAATTATCCATGCCTAGGAATATAAACAAATGATCATGAAGCACTTGGACGTCTTTTATGTCAGCGTGGGGTATGCATAATACTCCCTCAAAATCACAACCACCATATTGTATTCTCTCCTCTATTTTTTATTCATCCAAACATCTCTACACAGGAGATGTCCACAAGAAGAATGCTTTTTGTATGCAATATTGTACATTTATATAACCCAATACAAACATAACGTGATACTTCAAGCCCTCAAATTTCAGTTTGCAAAAATCTAAAACAACACTTTTTTCATCTGGAACACAACTATTAAGATCTTAGAACATGTATCATCTGCTAACAAAAAGAACTGGAAACAGACAGTATATCTCGTTTTTAAGCACACAATTTTCCCTATCTTTTTTTATAGAAACAAAGTAAAGATTAAAAGAGAGATCACCTGTCAAGACTTTAGGTCTTCGTAATGTATAAACTAAACCAATAGAACTAAGTTTTTCTTCCTTCTAACTTAAAAAAATTCTCACATCCCTACAGGTAAAGTTAAACTAGAGAGCTGAAAGAAAGGACAGAACAAATATCCACCAAAAATAAGAACAGCATTTGCCAGGCCTCTTTTTTTCCCCTTCATTTTGTGCTTTTTCAGATTTACAAGAAACTCATGGGAGGTTGTGATGAGGATCACTTGCAAACTGCGATGAACAACTTTTCTTTGCAGAAGGCAATCATGAGAACTTCTGTCATTATAAGAAAGGCTATATAAAATTAATATACATTTGCTTCAATGTACTGCTGTTAGCCTTTAAAATCATAAATACTCTTCAAAAAATCACTTTGCATCAGAAAAACTTAACCCATGTTTACAAATAGCTAGCAGATGAACTATGCTTAGTATGTGTGTCTAAATACAAAAACAGGGGGAAAAAAAGGCCTCCAAAAATAACCACCCACTTCAGCAGAGTTTTAAAAAGCAAATGCCATTTCATAATAGCATACCAAAGAAAAGAAATTATCTGCATCAATCATGGTATTTTGCTGACTAGAAATGCTACTCCTGCTTTTCCCAGCTATCACCATAAAACTAACATCTGCTCATTTTGTTACAATCCCAAGATTGTCACCTTATTTTATAGTGAGTTTTCATATGCTCCTTTAGCTGTGAGGAAGTTTCAAATTCCTTTTTGCAAGATTTGCAGCTGTGGATCCTACTGCCTGCCAATTCTTGACGATGTTCTTCCATGTGTATGGACAGCTGACTCTGTAAAGTGAATTCATCTCCACATTCTGAACAGATAAGATTCTGAAAGAGATAATAGACACTGATTTTTAAAAATATTCCCAAGCAACGGTACATACACAAGCTTTGCTCAAGCAGATTAACGTATCCTTCTATAGACACTGCCAGCTGGAAGCAAGCAGCAATGAAAGTATACAGCAAAAAAAGTTTATGAGTCCCATAATATAAATCATGAACAATAATCACTGCAAGATTATTTTAATATTTATATTTTAAGAAACTCCACTGAAACTGAATTCTGAAAAAATTTCACATGGCAGCAGAAACAAGCACTTCAGTATCATCACTACCGCTCCCTGTTTCCTTGGTAGGCTGGTTCAAGACACATAGATAAACTTACCTCAGTGCCATTACACTATGGTTTACAGAAACATTTCTAACAAATGCTTTCTACCCACAAGCATCTTAACTGCAGAGTCAGGGATTTCTAACTTTTACTTGTTAAAATTATATAGATTGTCACTTTTAAACAGTAATCCCACCACAGTTAGTACTGAATTTTCTTAAGCTATCTTCACAGAAAAGCCGACAGAAATCAATAGGGACACATAATGCTTCTTGACAGATAACTCATTAATTTTACAGCAGTGTTAAACACACCATTTTCCAGTTATATTATTATTCCATGTCATTTAGAATGGAAATTATACATCTGATGTTTAATGCAAAACTATTACCACTTGTCTGAAATTCAGAGGCAGAATCAAAGTCACATATTGTTTAAATGAAAACTAAAAGCTCTTGACTTCCTTTTGCTTTACGAAATCCTTAATTTTTATTTGTCATTCTATCTTTATTATCTTTATTTTAAAAAATCTAAGCTGAGAGCTAAGCTTAAATGTCTAAAAAATATCCATTATCTCTGTTAAATGTTCCTCACTGGTGTGCGTAAGTAACTTCAGACAGTTTACTTTTCAGTAACTGTGATTATCGCTGCAAATGGAAATGTTTTTTTTCCTCCCACCTTTTCTTCCCCTCCGTAAATGATCAACAAGAAAAATAAAAACAAAACAATAGAAAACAATAGTGTTCATTTAAATAAGGAATTGACAAAAATGTTTTAATCAACAGGAACACAGGTATGCAGTATTATTTTTAAAATGTTTTGACAATAAATTTGTTCCTGAAGTCCAAAAAAAGAAAAATTCTGCAGCATCACCAGACATTTCCACAAAAAAGCTTAAGAAGCTGAAGCCCTTTGATGAAAATAATTACTAACTCAAAAATTGCTTGTTTAATCTAACCTACATGTTGTTATTACCAGATTCAAGTTACCATGTAAGACAATAAATAATACTTTCTTTTCTAGGATATACACTCAAATCTGCATACTTCTTACTGAAAAATATTGTTCTTACACAACAAATTCAGTTTATGATGATCCTTATGACAACCTCCTGAATGACAGCTAGTGCCATCATCAAAACCCTCTCCTGCAAGTTCAAATTCCAGATCTCCTACAGGTCCTGGGCATAAGTACTGGGGAAGTTATTCCTGTAGTTCTCTGTAAATTAATTCTTACATTCATCTTTGTTTTATCATAAAATTATTGGGCATTATGAGAACATATTCATTGGCAACTGAAAGGTATTCATATTTTTATAAATTTAATATTCAAGCTGCAGATTGAATTTTAAATTAGAAGGCATCACACAGCCTATTCCTCTGACATCTGCAGAATCAGAGCTGCTGAAGTGCATGAAAAATCACTTAGTGATAGGAATGAATACCAGAAGTCACTCTCAGGTGTCTTTCTTGATGCTTAGTTTCCTTATTCTGATGATTTTAGCAATTTATAAATTGAGTTTCCTTAGTAATACCCATTAAGCCATGTATCATTATAGATACATTAACATGGAACAAAATTGAACTCAAGGCCACTTAACTTGGCTGCGTACACGACAAAATGTGAACTCAAACATGATTAAAGAAGGAATACAATCTCTACACATGTTATGCCCTGCCTGGCTTAGAAAAGTACAAACTGGCCTATTATCCCAAACTTAGTGGTCAAAACTGCTTGTAAAGCTGTCTGCAGTTGGCATGAAAAAACATACCACTGTTATGTTTATGATCAGAGGCCAGATGATAAAAGTGTATGCTTAGTTCAGCTCCAATGGTCCAACACGAAGTGTAATTTTAAAAAAGCCTTCCCAGGGGAAAGAAGCAATTACTTGATGGAAAACTTGGTATTTTGGGCAACACAATCAACTCTGGCAACTGCAATAATGCAGTAATGCCTATAAATTGTGCAAAACACCACTACGTATTAAATGTTTGCTAAGAATTCAACCAACGCCTTCTAAAAATGGAAAATTAAGTTTTGAGAGGGAAAGGAACACGAAGCACTCTCAAGTGAAACAACCACTCAAAACCAGAGGTGGGAGTTGTAGATAAGGCAATAACTTCATCTATTTCTATAGATGGTGAGACTGCCCCACCACGACATCTGCCATCAATTACGATCATCCAGATTATTACATGTGGGCTTATCAACGTAGATGAAGTCACAGAAATATCTTCAAAATAAAAGTATTTGTAAATAACCTCTCAGTTAATATTTATATATATGTGTATGTCAAACATCCACAGATTCTCTTTGTTAACAAAGACGTGATGGGAATACTTAGTTATATCCAGTTTATTAATTTTTGTAACTTTTATTAAAACAGACTCCCCACTAAAAGTTTTTTATTTCTTTTGAGTCAAATAATTTATTCAATCCTCCAATCTAAAACATACAGGTAAGGGATTAAATACAACTATTATGACATGTCTTTTTAAAATTTCAAGTTATAAAGTTTAATTAATTACCTCCTCTTTCTCATGTAGCATTATATGAGCTTTCAGACTGGCTACTCTGGAGAATTTCTTGTTGCATACAGGACACGTAGGATCTTCGCCATTGTGAGTACATTTATGAAGTGTCAAGTTGAATTCAACATTAAATGACATCGGACACTGGTCACATCGGTGAGGCTGTTGGTTAAAATCACAAAAAATAAAGACAAAATTCAGGCTTCCCATAAGTTACATATACCCCGGGTGACACATATAACCATAAACACCAAAAAGTTAAAAAGAGAAGAGCAGTTCAAGTACCTACATATGATAACAATCCTAAACAATACCAATCTTAATTATTTTATCTCCTTTGCATCTCACTACTGAAAATACAAATACAGCATTTCAAGAGCATGTGGGGAAAGAAAGCGGGGAATGAAATAAAGCAGAGGTTCAAAACTGAGACTGTCCGATGAGAATGAAGTTAGCAGGAGAGAGGAATGAGCAGGAGATGGAAATGTATTTTCCTACTTTAACTGTGATCATGATTCACCCAGAAGGTGGTTGGGTGCAGGTTCCCCAAGGAAGTGGTCACAATATCAAGCCTAACAGAGTTCAAGAAGCATTTGGACAACTCTCTCAGGCACATGGCGTGATTCTTGGGGCTGCAGTGTGAAGGACAGGAGCTAGACTCAGAGATCCTTGAGGATCCCTTCCAACTCAGGATATTCTATGATTCTGTAAAATCTTTTTAACCAAAATTAATAATTAAAGCAGCAATGCACTTAGTTTATGCTAGGATAGACTGCTCTTCAGTTAGTACCTGCACAATTAGTTTTTATTTTTTAAGCACACCTTCACTTCTAGATATAAAGGCTCATACACAACTGTGCAATAGTATGGTTTTAACAACCATATATCAACTTTACAACATTGAATCTTCTGTTCTTTGTATACATAAATTATCTCAAAGTGCTACATTTTGTAAAAATTAATCTGTATGTACTACCTCAAAAAGCAATAAAATTATTTTTCCATCATATATAAGTAGTTCCAGCTTTGTGAAATAGAAAGCAAGGAAAAGAAATTACATACTTTGCATTACAGATGCAACCTGTGGCAAAAGTTTAATTTAAAAAGTCATTCCAGTCTTAATCACATATCTGTATTTTTCTCATTCTTTCCTAAATTTGATTTGTAAGCAGCTAGAGTGATGACATTAATCTACTGACTAATACATACATACTAAATTAGTTTACTAGTGAGGTTCAGTTAATCAATTTAAGTATTATTTTCTTTCTATTGCTAATGTACAGAACTGCTTCCAAAATTTGATTGAAAGAAACCCATACACTTTCTCATCCAACTGAATATTTTATAAGTCAAAGATAATAGCTAAAATTAAAAATTACTGATCTGGAAAGAGCAATCTAACTAAACAACATCAAAGTAAGGTCCTGTCTCAAAGAAAACATGAAAGAGAAGGAACTTAACAAAACTCTGAGGTCCCCAAGTAGTAATTATTAGTGGTGTGATTAAAAAAATGGAAAAGATGTCTTGTGTTAGCTTTACTTGACAGTATATGAAAATATCATTATACCCTGGTTATATCTACTAGAATTCATACCTTGTCATTTTGCTCATGATCCCTCATATGGCGCTGGAACTGGGTCTCTTTTGGAAAAGACAGCAAACAAATCTCACACTTATGGAAGTTAGGTACTTGGTAGGGAAAATTTCCGTTCTCTATATTCGGTGTCAGAACATCATCTACAAAACAAGAACCAAAACATTTGTATAAAGTCATATTTCATCTACTTATAATTTACTGTAAAAACCAGGAATTTTTTAGAGCTAAAACTATTTCAACTCCTCTAAGCTTCTGACATACACAACACTCTGAATTCAAGGGATCTGGCAGATCTCAGTCAAAAACATTACTGCTGTCATTGACAACAGATCAACCAATCATATCCATACCTCTAACTGCCCGTTGATAAAGAGATAAACAATCACTTTTTCCCAGTAATTTGAAACAAATTCTTTCTGTGCTTCATACACACTGGTCAAATTTGCAACAGAATAGAACTCTGCCAGATACACCAGGTATGAATAAGATACTGCCAGGGGTTACTTGTGTAACTAAGACTTTTACATGTCTCCAAGACTTTTAAAATTACATAGTCAGCAGTTCTGACTGTACAAGTTTTCTGCCCTTCCCCATTTCTTTCTCTCTTTTTTTCACTTAAGAAAAATTTGGACTTCTTTTCTTTCTTCAACACTTGTTGATGTAAAACCTTTATTAAAACTTATATTAAAACCTTTAGAGTTGTAAAACCTCTCATTGTTTCTGTTAAAAAATCTCACTGTTTCAAGTGGCTCAGAGAGATGCAATAAACTGCAAGCTAAACTGTGTACACATTAAGTCAATGAAGAAAGAGATGTATTTTTTCTTTAGACCCAGTCTAAACCCATACAATTTTCTTGTTTTCAACTCCTAAAATCACATAACTTTTGATATACAAGTTGCAAGCTTCTATATCCTCTTGCTCAAATGGCCAGTTAAACCTATAAATACTTTATGATACACAAAAAATATTAATCCAACTAAGTTAAACACATTTTACATTTGAAAAGATACCGTATTACTACAGAATTTATCTTTATTTAAGAATAACTTGAAGAAAAGCAATTGGCAGGAGGACTTATCGTATTACTCAAAGCATTATTATTAACATGAAAATAAAAATTGATTGACTTGTGCTGGAGGTTAGGGACACTCAAGACAAAAAATCTACATAATTCAGTTTAAACATTGCTACAGCTCCAACTACGTCAAACAACAGAATGCGAAGAGAAGGGAACACTGATTTTGCTATCTAGATACACGAGGCCTGATGTTTTTCTTCAAGTCAGTACTTTCCACCATGAATGTAAGAATTAGGCACAGGAAGTACCAATACAAATAGAATTTTACAGCATCCTGTTTACATTTCCTCAGAGGAAATCAAAGATTACAATTCATATAGTATTTTTGCTCAGTACTGCACCCATTTCGAAGTCCTTACTCATTCAGCACAATATTTACAAGGGAAAAAAAAATATCAGTACCTTATGTCCTGACCGTAATTTTTCCTTGCTAAAATTCTCATAAATAAACTTTAAAAGTTTGTAGTTGAGGAAGCTGTAGGAAACATTTCAGCACAATATATTTTGGGCAAGAAGTAAAAACAATGTCCTAGGGACTTACACTTCCCATTTCTGGACTGAGATGCCCAATTAACTTCTGCTTTGCAAAGTTTAGTTATAAAGTATTTCTCTTTAACAGAAAGATGTAAGTATCACAAATATTTATGATGTGTTAACTTAACCTACTGCATCTTTTAACAGACCCTCAGCTGTACATTCATAGTATATGCAGACACTATCAATAACAACCCTGAAATGGTCACATTTCTTCAATAACTGAAAACCACAGCTTTAACTAAAAGACACAGTCCTTTAACCATCCTTGTCATAAATATGCCTGAAATGAATAAAGGACACAAAATCAGCCTCTGTAAGCAGTGGCAGGACAAGAGATGTGGACGAAAAATCTGCTCCAATACTTGGGCTATATGAAAATGTAATGTGGAAGGCCTTCTGTTCCCCTAGAAAAAGGAGTAATTGTTCAACCCCCTGAAAGCCTGACCTCCCACTTTAAATTGGCAACTGAAAAATGATCCAATCCATGACTTTAGAAAGGCCTTCAAGCCTTCTCCTTTAACCAAAGAGATTATTATCTTTAAAGTCACTCAAGATCAAAGACACCAGACAATATACAAAAACAATGCCTAAGCAACTGAAGTAGCTAAGGTGTAACACTGACATCAAAGGTGCAAACTTGGAAACAGAAAAAGCAACATGCTCACTGTGTCTGAATAACATTACTAAGTGACATTGGTTTTGGTTCAGTAACATTTTTTAGGTATTATTTTCATTAAAATGTGTCATATTGACTATTTATCTGTAATACCGACTGTAGTATCTGTAATACTGATTAATCTACAGGCTGTGAATTTTCTTCTGGAATTCAAAAAGGAGTTCACCTATATAATGAAAAATTAAATATCTTGTGATGTTTCAACGGAATTTGATTACTATAATTCCATGAAATCTGATTGCAGAGATATACAAGAAGACAGTACTTTAGCTTTTCTATAAAAAGATGGAAATTATTAACATTAAAATAAACAGAAAGGGGTAACAAGATAAACAGGAAAGACACTGTCAATTAAAATTAACAAACAAGTGAGCTACATTTTGACTTTTCAGGGAGGTGTTCCAGATTCATGAAGTATGGCTTGAGTCTGCCTTTATTTCAAAGTAAAAATGAAATAAAATTTTGACAAAGCTTTTTGCTAGAATTACTATCCGGATGAAGACTTTATTTACACTGATACCTCTACTATAAAAGTCAAAGTAATAACCTAAAATACTGCAGTTTAGATAAATCATCACAAAACAATCTTTCCTTATATTAGAGAAAAAAAACGCTTTTAGACACATCAGCTTGGATCATGAAACAAGCCAAACACTGCAAAATACTGAACCTATCTTAAAGGCCAATATTTTTGAATACCAAAAAAACATGTAAATGACGCCAGTTCAAGAAGTTGGCAGTGGGGTATGGACCCCATACTTTTAACTGCACTGAGAAATTTGTTAACCGAAAAAACCCCGCAACAATTCTAAACATTCCCTGTGTACCGAAGGGAAACAAAATGAAGATACTGACACACCTGACACTGTTTAATGGACACAATTCATCATATATCATATATGAAGCAGATAATAAATAGATAATAAGATGTTTATGCTCTCAGAAAAATAAAAGTATTGGGTACACAAATTAAGCAATCTACTTATTGTCAGACATACTCTTGACAAATGAAAACACAAGTCTGCTGTCTATTGATGAACTAACTGAATGCCATTCAAGCCAGCAATACAGAATTAAAAGTTTGAGGGTTTAGTTCAAGAAGACATTAACTGATTAAACACACAACGTCAGCACAATCACACAAAAAACTGGCATGCTCTTAGTAGAGAGAAGCTATTTCATGATATAATAAACATACACAGAGAAAACATAAAATTAGTATCAGAGTAACAAACCCTTTGAAAAAATAAGTGATTTTTTCAGATCTGCACACTACAACAAATAATAAACCTCACTGAAAAGGTGCAAAGCTTAAAATACTGCCATTTATTAATACGAATTGCATGGAAACAGTGCAGAATCTACTGTCACTTTCTGTTTTTTTCCAATTTGCGTTAGTCTAGCTGCAACATAAATCAACCTTACTACATCACAGCCTGAGAGAGATAGTCAAGTATCCATACAATTAAACTAAACAGGGAACACTTAGCTCATTATGCACTGTCAAACACATTTTTGCCTGTATGTACTTTCAAATGAACAGTTTGTCCAAAGTGCCCATAGACAGTAGAATCAGATTTGTGAAGTACCAACCGATGATAACAAACTTTCAGTTTAAAGATGGTCTTATTTAAATATTCTTAATGTTACAACTTGTACTTTCTATTTAAATTTATTGTCCCTCACAGAGCAGCAGCAATCACTTCGGGTCAACTCAGCTGTGCCACAGCCTTCACCAACACTTGACCTCGGGAGTTGAGTCAGCAAGCAGGTGCTCTCTGCTATAAGCCACGGATGACAACTCAACGTGGAGGGAGGAAGACAGAATTAGAGCACTCCAAGCCATTCCCTCCTTATGTAAGCAGCACTGTGCCTCATAGCAGCCTGCAGTCCTCTCTGCAAGGCGCAGATGGACTCATTCAGCTGTGAATGCAGCACAGCTTTATTAGATCTCTAATAATCTCCTCGCATCCAACTGAGAGGACACTGCGAATAAAGCGTTCAAGCTTGTGAAATTCACAGATGAAAACTTGTCACTGAAGTTAAATGGCAGCTGGCAAGCCTAGGGACAAAAGGGTCTGACCCTATCAAAACCTATTTACTAATTTATGAGTGGAAAGAAAGTGGTAGGACAAGAGAACAAAACAGGGATGGCAGTACTGGCATTTCCTCATACTACACTTGAACCCATAGAACACAAATGATAATGAATCATTAAAACATTTTGCCTAGTCCTGAAATCATAAAAGAAACAGTTTACTTTAAATTTTGCTCAGTTCTCTTAAACAAAAACTCATGACTTCTGATGGGAAGAACAGGGGAGAGACTAACTCTCAGTTCACATATCATATCAAAATCCAGAAATCAATCAAGATTTGCTTGTATAAGACAATGTACTTTTACTACATTTTGGTCAACATACAATCAGGAATGTAAAGTAGTACCAGTCAAGACACTTGGCTTCCAGGAGTGCACTGCTGGGATAGACATCCAGGGGCCAATCACTCAGCATATGCCAACATAAAGCAGCTGCACTCCTTTCAGGAGCAGATGACTCCAGCCACTGCACAGCTACACTAATGCACTGCAGCAGCAGAGAAGCCTGACAGAACATGGAATTCAGCTCCATCATAGTTGGTTAGATGCTAAATGGATTGCGTTGGGTCTGGCTGGGATGGAGTCAACTTCCTTCCTATCAGCTGTGCTTTAAATCTTTGACTAAAGGCAAACATTTGCCTTTGCATCACTTGGTTGGGCTTTTTTTGTTGGTTGGTGATACAGCTGGCTTGAGGGTTTTTTATTTTGGTTTGGGGTTTTTTAACTTTTTACTTTTCTTTTTTTTAAAACTTTATTTATTCATCTGTCTTTATCTCAATCTACAAGTTTTTTCTTGCTCTTGCTATTCCTGTTCTCTCTCTCACCCTACTGTGAGACTGAGCGAAATGCTGGAGGATGTTTAATGGCTTGCCAAGGTCAACCCACTACAGAGATACACCATCCACATCATCTTAATCTACACAGATAACTGAAAATATTGGCACTTCCCTCATCAACTTTGATAGCTTCATCTGACATTCAGGTAAATACTGCCATATTTATTGTTAAATACTCCCAAACAGGAGTTACACCTTTTTTCCACAGTTGCATACGAATATTCCAAGCCATCATTATTCAGCTGTTTGGTTTTACATGATTTGGATATCTCCTGGCTGAGACCATGACCCTTAGCTGTGTCCAGGCACTACAGTGTTAACAGAAACTTCTGAATGAAGTAAATGATTTACTACATGATCATCCTTCTCCCAGGGAGTGAACAAAATCCAACTACAGCAAAAAAACCTCAAAAGAAAGACAAGAGAGGTCTCAAATAGAAACTTTAATTATATCTGGAAGCACTTAATGCATATGAATAAATCAGGTATGAAGGTATCAGCACAAGTGCAATAGGGAATAAAATTTCTGCAATTGGCAGAAAGCTAGAGAAGGGACAGAAGGAGGGCTGAAGTTATCACACAGACAGAACTTAAACACAAGTCACTCAACTGCACAATTACTTGGGAAAAGACATACACATATTTCAAGCATAGTGAGGAACTAGCATGGAACTAAGGCACAACAGTATAATCCAAGTTTATCATCTTCTCCCTAAGAGCCAACACACCCCTCATAAATAACGATAGGTTTTCTTACTGCAGAATAGTGAAATGGCCAAACAACAGTATCACTATTACAATCTAATGATTGTCTTTTTTAAGGCAAAAGTTTGGGCAGTTGTCCTCCTTTATGTTTTAAAAAGGCATTACCTACACAGGCAGCAGTCCCAAGCATTGAGGCCAGGCTGCTGAGAACTCAGCTGCGTTGGGCAGGGCACGTCTCCAGGATGCAGGACCATCGCCTCCCTAAGATTGTGCTCTATGGAGAACTTGCCACTGGCTGCCGCAAGAGAGGAGGCCCGAAGAGGAGATACAAGGACTGCCTGAAACAATCCCTCAGCCTTGGCAATATTGATCACCACCATTGGTCTACCCTGGCCTCCAATCAGGAGGCCTGGAGGCACACCATCTATAACGCTGCTGCTGCTTTTGAGAACACACACAGGATCACTCTCGAGGAGAAAAGACAACACAGAAAGAATCGCGTCTTGTCGATATCACCTGGGGAGTGTTTCTGCTGTACCTTCTGCAACCGGACTTGTCTATCTTGCATTGGCCTTTTTAGCCATCAGCGCGCTTGTAGCAAGTATGGGTAGAGCCCTTCTCAAATCTTCGTTAGCGAAGCCTAGCCATGAGGATGACCTACACCTATCCTGTTTAAAAGACTTAGAGCACATCACACAAGCAGTACCTCAACCTCTTTATTGTTGCCTGCAAGATGAGACTCCCCCATTGTCTTCTTGTCAGTCAAAGGTCACTACATGACACTCTAATACACAACTACTAAAATAATCCACATAACAAAAATTTGGTAAGACTTCACTTGGGAGTTCAAGTTTCAATTTGCTTCAGTTATAGAAAAGTGGAATGTAAAGCCTTCAAAATAACCTTCTCCTAATTCCATACACTCATACCATAAATGATGCTAGAGGACTGACAGGCAGCAAACAAAATACAGCCAGCCAGCTCTGCAGAGCTATGTCATCTTCTGTTTCTCAGCTTTGTGTATTTAATATTTACCACTTTTCATATGTGAAATACGTTACAGTTCAGGCCCCCTGACGGCACAAAATACTCAAGTTTTAACTGCACTCATAAAAGAATTCAGTTCAAACTTGCGCAAAAGTGGCTTTCAGGTTTAACATGTGACATACACTCAAGGCTTAAAAAATGCTTCAGTACGTCCTGAAATGTTTCATTTTGCTGTTCAAAGAATTCCTCATCTGCTGTTTGAAAAAGATCTCATAGTCATGAAGGTCAAAACTGCTCATTTCACGTTACTGCTATGCAGTGACAAACATCACAGGTACAAGAGAAAGGACCTCTCTCTGGAAGGAGACTTCACAACTTCCTTCTGTAACCAATGCCAGTGCTCGGTCACCCTCACACTGAAAAAGTGTTTCCTTATGCTCAGACAGAACTTCTCATTTTTCCGTTTGTGCCCAGAGAAGTCAAATTGAACAGTTCAACTGAGTTAAAAAAAAAAAAAATCGAAATCATTGCAAAATAGTTTTGGGGAAACACTACAATGCCAAAAAAGATTATCTCAGAATAGCAGCTACTGAGGTCACGATATTGTTTTGACTATTGCTGCCTACAGTTCATTTTTTTAATCCGATATATTTAATTTTCCTAGAACAAAGAACTTGTTCTAGTCTTTGACATGTATGGTGGTTAAAGAAGTCTAAAGGAAGCTGCATAACATGAATTCACCTTTATTTTCTCTCAGAGATGCATCACCATAAACATACAGACTGTACAACTACAGAGCAACACTTTCTTCCATGACAAACATCAGAATAACAAGGATGCAGCAATTCCAAGGACCACACGAAAAAAGAACCTAAAAATGTATGATTTCCTAAGTAAAAGATATGAAATTTATTTTTGCAAAAAGCTGTTTTCTAAAAAAAATTCCTCCTGCTAAAAGTGAAGCCTATGCTTCCCTTGCACAACTAGTTTTCAAAGTCTGTCAGTCTATATCTGAGTGGGACAAACAGCCAAATATCTTAAGAACATAAAATTCCTTAATTCAAGCTGTCCTGTTCAGCCAGAGCTTCCTCATTCATGACCTTCTTTTGTCACGCACAAGTGTAGAAAAAAACACGACACTTGCCAACACTGACTTTGCTGTTTTCCCAAAGTACTGAAATTGCAAGGACCAAAGACACCAGAACCCACAAAATTTGCCTATATAGGGACAGTTATTGCAGTTACAGATGTCTCTGAAACCTCACGGTAGCCCTAGACCCTAGCAGTTTAGTAATACCAAACTGCTGTCTGCAAACTACCTCTATGAAACAATTTCGTTAGTAAATGAGCAAATTTCTTTCAAAAGAAATAAATATGTGAAAAAGACAAAATGTGATGAAACTCACATTAAGTCCTGGCAGCCATACATACCTCTTAGCACAGGAAGAGTCTAAGATCAAGACCCAACTACAAGCAAAATGAACACAGTTACTAGGCACTTCTTGTGGACAGTCTGTCTCGGTTTTGATCTTTTTCTCATTCGTGCATCAAGTCATTACTACAGGTGCTTATGCATGTATATGTGTACCATTTCAAGAACTACTAGAGAATTAAGCAGGTATTTGAGTTCAAGTAAACTTTAAAAAAGCCCAAAATCTCAACCTCTAAAGCTGATAGCAGCAAAAGTTCTTTGGGACTGTCTTAATATACTTATTACTTAGTGATCAAAAGCTGAGATAAATGGCCCGAACAGAAACAACAAAAGAAAAAACCCCAAACATTTCTGATTGGAAACTGTGGCCCATATGGCTTTCCATACCGTAGAAGACATTTTATCTGACTTCCCAACATTCACCTAACAGCACAGCAATTCTTTTTCACCTGTCAGCACATTTCAATACTACAAAAAAAGGATTCCACAGAAGGCTCACCTACACATTCCCCTTGCAGAGCCAGAGCTCATCTGCAATCATCGAGAAAACCAGGCATTCTAAAAATATACTAAAAATACTAACTGGCTTTTTATGACAGAAATAATCACAGTATTCAGATACTTTATTAAACCTCACTCTGTTCTATTGGGGGGGGAACACACCAAAAAAAACCCAAAATCTAGTGGTAAGGCCTTGTGCTGAAAAAGTCACAAATTAAGGGTTTCAGGCCTACCTGAAACACGGTACTTTTGTGATTTGTGGGCCTTAATCAGATACTGCTCACAGAACCCCAGTAACATCAGCAGGAATGAACTGCACAAAAGAGCCATAAAACTCACCAGCTACCAACTACTGTCAGAAAAATCCCTATCAAACCAATCCTGCCCTGAAGTACTGTCCAGTCATAGGCAACACTAAAACGCAATCAAAAAATTTAAAATCGAAGACTAATACATGTTCGGGAAAGAAAATCAGGGGGGTTTTGATGTTTTGCGGTTTTTCAGACATACACCCACAAACAAAACAACTACAAGGATGTTTTTAAGGCCTAAAAAAAAAAAAAAAAAAAAAAAAAAAAAAAAAAAAAAAAAAAAAAAAGAAAGAAAAGAACGCCTTTCTCCTTGTAAATCAGAGAAGTGGACGAGTGGAACCCCATTTTCCATTTGTTTATCATCCTTTATTCGACGCTCTCGTTAATGTGGCCGGGGGGAGGAGGAGGTAAAGGAGATGAGCGGCGGAAGGAGCCGGAGCCGGAGCCGGAGCCTTCCCGTCTTGGCCGCCGCCAGGAGGCCCGGGCTCTTCCCCCAGCCCTTCCCGCCGGCCCGGCGCCGAGGAGGACGGTCAGGGCCGACAAACTCTCCTCCACCGGCGCCCACAGCCGCGGCCCCGCTGCGCGGGCAGGAGGCAGCCCGGCCCCGGCGCCGTTCGACCGCTGCCCGCCCGGTATCATTCCGCAGGGCCAGGCCCGGCTCCCTCCGCTCTCCTCTCCTCCCCTCCGCCCGCCCGCCTGTACCCTCGCACAATAGGCCCGGCCTTCCTCCCCCATATCCGGGGACTATATGCGGAGCCCGCGGAGGCTTCTCGCCTCCCACCCCCGGGCGCGGGTCGCGCCCGCCCGGCCGCACTCGTTACCTGCCTCGGCGCCGGGCTCGCCGCTCTCCCCGCTGGGCTCGGGGGGCCGCCCCCTCGGCATGGCCGCCCCCTCCTCCTTGTCCCTCCCGCCCCCCCGGCGCACGCACACACACACACACACACACTTGGCACCGGCGGAGGAGAGGGGGGGAAGGAGGGGCGGGGACGAGCGGGCGGGTCCGGCCCTACACAGGGGCGGCGGGGGGCGGGCGGCAGCGCTGCCGGAGGGGGCGCGGGCGGGGGGCGAGTGGGGCGGCGGCGAAGGCGAAGGCGGCGGGGAACTCACGGCAGGGCCGGGCGGGCGGGCGGGGGGCACGGGCGGGCGAGGGGCGGCGGCGGCACACAGTGCGCATGCGCCCGCCCGGCCGCCCTGCTTGTGGGGGGGGAAGGTCGGCACATCCGGGAGCGGTGGCAGGCGGGGCCGGGATGCCGCCCTAAGGAACTGGAGCTGAAGCCGAGTGGGCATGGAGTAGAGGCTGGATAGGGTCTCCGCGCTTCCCGAGCGCCGGGTCCGGCACGGCGGGTCTGCTTGCCGGCAGGAGCGCCCCGCCTGGACGCGTTGCTGTGTCACCTGCTCTAGGTGGCCCTGCGTTGGCAGGGAGATTGGGCCTGGGTGATCTCCAGGGGTCATTCCAACACTAACAGTTCTGAGGTTCTGTGGGGGCTGGAGTCTCGCTTTCAGAGCCCAGAAACTGGCACCAAAGGCGCGTGGTTGATGGCCTCAAGTTGTGCCGGGGGGTTTAGGTTGTATGTTAGGAAAAGGTTTTTCACCCGGAGGGTGGTTGAGTACTGGAACAGACTCCCCAGTGGTCACAGAACCAAGCCGGAATGAGTTCAAAAAGCATTTGGATGATACTCTCAGGCACACGGTGTGACTCTTGGGAATGGTCCTGTGCAGAGCCATGAGCTGAACTCGATAATCGTTCCAACTCTGCATGATTGTGTTCCCTGCGGGAGATTGTTCCTTGCCATTCCTTCCTGCATCTTCCCTGAATTACTGTTTTTTTAGGCTGAGGTGTGGGCTCACCTGCTGCCCGGGAACACATCTTCCTCCAGGGCAGATGTGGTTTGCTGATGATGATGGTCTGTGCCCTGCCCGAGCTCTGCTGCCTGAACCATGTGCTGACTGGAGAGATCATAGAATCAGAGAGCAGTTTGAGTTGGAAAGGACTTTGAGGGTCATCGAATTCCAAGCCTCTGTCATGGGCAGGGACACCTCCCACTAGCCCAGATTTCTCAAGGCCCCAGCCAACCTGGCCTTGAGCACTTCCAGGGATGGGGCAATCACAGCTTCTCCAGGCAACTTGTTCCAGGGCCTCACCACCCTCACAGTTAAGAATTTCTTCTGAATATCTAATCTAAATCTCATCTATTTCAGTTTAAGCCATTCCCCCTTGTTCTATCATTTCCTGCCAGAAGACCCTCTCCAGATCTTGATGGGAGTTGTCATAAAAGATCACTGGTTTGTTTAATAGCAATTTTTGGGTGTCAAAAGCCATAGCATTTGATTCTGCCCCTTGTAACTTGTGTGCAGTGAAAGTGTGCTTACTGGAAAAATATCAAGAAAGTGGTATATGCTTTATCGACAGCTTGTTCAGCACTTCACAGATTTCATGACCTCCAAAGACACTGCTCCATGTCATCTTTGAATTCATTGTTTCAGGTTCTAAGACAAGGTTTTTATTACACATCTCTCTTACTAAATAAAAATACAAAATACTTACTTTTGATGTGTGACTTGATTAATCTTTTTCCTTGATGTCAATAGTTTGACATATTTAAAATTCCAAAGCTTTTTCTGAGTTACATTTTCTTTCTGCACCTTTTAATTTTTAAATGCCCTTGTAATATGGGTGTATTTCTGTACTAAAGGAAACGCTATGTGAATATTGCCTGCGGTGATAAAACTACCGTTTCTAGCTTTTTTTTGGCTACTCAAGTCTAACGCCCAAGGATTGAGCCAAAGCCCATTTCCACTGAAGCAGGCTGCTGCTGCTGCTTAGTTGCTAGACTGTTAAAATGCTCAAGTTGCTTTCAGGATATCCCTTTTTTTCTCCCCCATCCCATACACCAGCATGTGACCAGTTTTTTAATTAAGAACTATATAGTGTTTCAGTGGCCTGTATTAAAATACATTTCATATGATGTAGTCTTAGTTAACCAAGCTGGATGATCCTGTCCTCGTTTATTACGTTTATTACTTTAATGTCACTTTCTGCAGTCTCTGCAAATTGTATTAATCAGGTACTTCAGACCCCTGATCAGAAAAATAGGGCAGGCTTTCTACTGATACCTGTAATCTCTGGTAACAAAGCAGTACTTAGTAATGTTATCATCTTTGAATGTTATTATCACTTTGTTAATTCATATATCTTGTTCTGTTGCAAATGAGGGGGGGGGGTTTCCTAAGTTAGAGCCTTTCAGATAACTAATTAAATTACATCTAAACACTTGCCTTAAGCTAACAGAGTTAATCATATCAAAGAATGAAATCAGATTTTTGGAATGCAAGGTTTCATTTCTTCCTGAAGGCTAAGGTTGAGTGAGCAATATTTAGATAATTTCGCATTCTGTCCATCTCTAAAAAGTGTACTGTTTTTAATTTTCTCTGGAGAAATGCAGCATTGGCGTATAAATACGTAAAGGAGCACTGAAACGGGTGTGACCATTGCCTGGAGCTCCTGTGAGCTGACTTCTCGCTGCAGCCCAATTACATCAAGGGAAAAGGCAAAGAACAGCAGTGGCCTCTGGTGGCTGTAGGATAGTTCTGTGACAAAAAATTAAGATCGCCAGTCGCTTCAGCAGTGACCTACAGCCTACAAGTACATGACATAAGGCGACAGCTTTTTGCATGATTTCAGTTAGACCCAGGGACGGGACTCAAACCCAAACAAATCAAACCTAATCAGGATCTAGAAGGACTTTGCACAAGCTCGATATATTGCATACTTACCCTGATTTTGTTCTAACTTGGTTATAAGGATTGTCTGGGGGGCTTGGAGGTTTTTTCGGGAGGGTTTTTTTGAGGTGTTTTGCATTAGTATTAAGAACTTTGAATCTCGAGTTTATTTTCAGTTTTGAAACTGATGCACACTTTACAGAAATGTAAATGGGATTCTATATGCAGGCAATTTTTGTCTGTACTGATACTAATGAAAATTGTCCCTCGTTTTTGAAGTCTAATACAAAAGCCAACTTTCCTTTCTACTTTAGTTTTCAGCATCATTGTTCCCTGCACGTCTTTCAGTGTTCAGCAGCAGTACATACAATCGCGGCTAACTTTGTACTGCAAAAGTCTGTTCATCATCTGTTTCAAGTTTACATGGTGTGTTTGTCATTGCCTATCAGTCTTCTAACACTTCTGCATTACTCTCATTCTGTATAAAACTAGCTCTGTGTAAAAATACAAACGACATAACAAGCCTCAGGAAGCTTGGTATACGGGAAGAGAAGTAGTTTATGAAGAGTATATGGAATAGGTGTTGAAGAATATAGGAAAATTTTCATTAATAAAGAAATTCGGTGGTGTATCATATGCCTAACTTTACAGCTTTTTTCAATCTATTGCAGCTGTTTAATCTCTGAGTAATTTTCTTTCTTTGTCTATGTAAGTGGCACAATATTTTTCATCTGCACTTCCCAGCTTCTGGAAGAAAGGCACCACATGCATTGATAAAACTCTTGGACTACTTCTATTGTCTGGATTTGCAGAAGTGCTGATATTTAAAAATATTTTTAAATTGTTGCATTTTGTAAATAATAAAATGACCTATTACAGTCATTCTCTAAAGTCTGTGGCCTTACTCCAGAGTTACTACACATGAAACTTCTCAGTTTTGAGGTGTGCCCTAGCACTGAAACCCAGTGCCTTCTCTGCTATCCCTGCAAAGGAAAGGTGGAGCTGTTTCCCAGATGGAATCTGCAGTGTAATACAGAGAGTGCAATATGGTTAGCCTTTAACTCTTTCTATCATTAATTTTATCTGGTATCCCTAATTTCTAGGAAGAAAAACAGCTATAGTGTCATACCTTAAAATATGCAACATTAAAAGTTATGCTTATTTTATACCTACAGATAAAATATAGTGACAGAGGGAGTAAGGTTAACACAAGGCCACAGAACAAATTGAATTATAGGTTTTACTACCAACTAGTGGTACAAGATGTGCTGCTAAATTTTAAGGCAAACTAATGAAATTGAACCATTTCAAAAAAGCTAATTACTAAGTAAGGTACTATTTACAGTTTCAGTTGTCTGTCCATGTTTTCCAAGCTGGGGCAGTACAGTACTTTCCCAGTGGTAAAGCTGTAGATGTGTAGTACTCCAGACTGGAAAATCCCTCCACAGTTTTTTTTTTAAATCATGACATTTAAATAAGTATAACACTTTCTGAACTCCTATGTTTTTGTTTTTGCATGTCTGAATGCTTGTGAACTAGAAAAAACCATATTTCTAATGAATTTATTTTTCTGTGTCGTGGTTTGACTTTAGGCAATGACATTTTATGAAAAAAAAAAAATTGCAATTTTCCCAACATGGTGAGAAAGTTGATATACTAAAGTAGTTCTGTAGTTCTGTACTCAGTCAGAGGTGAGAGAAATAAAGGCCATTGCAATATTCTAAATGCACAGTATAGCCAGGCCTCCATAGAAGGGTGTTTTGAGAGCTATACTCTCAAATTTCATACAATCATAGAGTAGTTTGGGTTTCAAGAAGCCTTAAAGATCATCTGGTTCCAGCCCTGCTGCAATGGTCAGGGACACCTTCCAATAGATCAGGTTGCTCCAGTCCCCATCTGACCTTGGCTGAACACTGTATTTGCCAGCTGTTGGCACAGAACAGTAAATATACTGAAGACTGACTTACAGCTGTTGCCAAAATGAAATAAGCTGTCCTGGGAATAACAGCTTTATGGTTAGAGGGCATAACCTGGAATAGAACCTGCAGTAATGTAAAAGTGTCATTAAAAGTCAACAGTCTTCCCTCAAATTGCTATAATAGCAAAAGCTAGAATAGACCTGGTCTACATTTTAAATGTATGAAATTGTAAAATTATATGCTGTGAGAAGTGAAGTATACATTTTGTATGAAGCATTTCGCTAAAGAGGCAGTTTTCCAATGTTAACATATTAATTTCCAAGGAAAGATAAATGTTTTCTGCTTTGCTCAGTTGGTTTGTTCATTT